TTGTTTTTATATTTCTACAGCACATATATGTTTACATATGTAAAAATGTATTTTTATTGGGGTGAAATTCAAAAAATATATTTTTATTGGGGTGAAATATAACATAAAATGAAGCACTGTAAACATGAACAATTCAGTGGCATTTAGAACATTCACAGTGCTATGCTCCACCACCTCTCTCTAGTTCCAGAACATTTTCGTCACCCCCAAAGGACACCCCATGCCCATCAGTAGTCACTCCCCATTTCTCCCCCTCTGTCCCCTGCAACCACCAATCCGCTCTGTCTCTATGGATTTACCTATTCTGGATAGTTCATATAAATGGAGTCATACAATATATGGCATTTGGTGCCTGGCCTCTTTGACTTAGCAGACATAATGCTTTCAAGGTTCATCTATGTTTAGCATGTTTTATAGCTGAATAATATCTCATTGCACAGATAGACCTCATTTTGCCTATCCATTCTTCTACAGATGAACATTTGGCTTATGTGAATAGCGCTGCAATGCACATTCGTGTATAGGTAATTGAGTGTATAGTGTTGCTTTGGATTTCTCTAAACTTTATATCATACTTCAACTTGTTTTGATTGTTCAATGTTAGGTTCTTTTTTTTTTTTTGAGACAGAGTCTGGCTCTGTTGCACAGGCTGGAGTGCAGTAGAGCAATCTTGGCTCACTGCGACCTCCACTTCTGGGTTCAAGGGATTCTTCTGCCTCACCCTCTCAAGTAGCTGGGACTACAGGTGCACACCATCATACCTGGCTAATTTTTTGTATTTTTAGTAGAGACGGGGTTTCACTATGTTGATCAGGCCGGTCTTGAACTCTTGCCTCAGCCTCCCAAAGTGCTGGGATTATAGATGTGAGTCACCACACTCAGCCTAGCCCATTTATTTTCACTGCTGCAAAGCATCTCATTTTTAAAAAGTATTTTATTTTATTATTTTCTTGAGACAGGGTCTCACTCTGTCACCCAGGCTGGAGTACAGAGGCGTGATCACAAGTTGCTATAGCCTTGACCTCCTGCACCCAAGCAATCCTCCCATGTTGGCTTCCAGAGTAGCTGGGACTACAGGCATGTGCCACCACACCTAGCTAGTTTTTGTATTTTTAATCAAGACGGGGTTTCATCATGTTGTCCAGGCTGGTTTCGAACTCCTGCATCAAGCAGTTCTCCCGCCTCGGCCTGCCAAAGTGCTGGGATTATAGACATAAGCCACTGTGTCTGGTCCAAAGCATCCCATTGCACGAATCCAACAATGTATTTATCCATCCCTTGTTTGAGAACATTCAGATTATTTCCTGCTTTCCCTCTTACAATGCTGCAGAAACTTTCTTGTCCATAGCTCCTAAGGCACGTGTACAAGAGCTTCTCTAGGGCGCATATCTGAGTTTTACACTCTCTGATCCGCCATCTGCGGTGGGGCCGCCACCAAAATGCAGATTTTCATGAAAACCCTTACGGGGAAGACCATCATCCTCGAAGTCAAACCCTCAGATATGATAGAAACTGTAAAGGCTAAGATGCAGGATAAGGATGGAATCATCAAAGACTGATCTGGGCTGGCAAGCAACTGGAAGATGGACGCACTTTGACTACGGCATTCAAAAGGAGTCTACTCTTCCGCTTGTGTTGACACTTCGTGGTGGTGCTAAGAAAAGGAAGAAGTCTAATGCCACTCCCAAGGAGAATAAGCACACGAGAAAGAAGCTTAAACTGGCTGTCCTGAAATCCAAATAAAGCAGGAAAAGCCTCACGACAAACCTCTCGAACACCGAACTGGGGAGGAAGGGGTGATTTATTCGTCAGGGAGCTGCAGAGGCATAGCTAACAGCCAGCTCACCTAACAAAGTCCCTGCCCTTTTAAGGGCTTACAGCTCTAGAAATTACATGTGAAAGGTCTTGGTCCATGGAGTAGGCGTGGGGTACATGACTTAGGTTGGGGTTTGATCGTGTTTAAGTAACAGCAATGCCTTCCGGAAAGGTTCCTCCATACCATGCCTGTGATCTATAGGAGGGCAATTAAAGGTGGCGCCCGGTCTGCCAGCCTTTACTTCTCCTGTTGAAATGCAATGTGGAAGTCAAGGGGGAGGTGGTCTAAGATGCTTCAGGGTGATTAAGGGTCTCCTTCCTCAGTGGATGAGAATGACAAAATCAGTCGCCTTCGTGGAGACTGCCCTTCTGATGGCTGTGGTGCTGGAGTGATTATGGCAAGCCACTTCACAGATGTTATTGCGGCAAATGTCTTCAACAAACCAGAAGACAAGTAACTGTATGAGTTAATAAAAGACATGAACTGGGCCGGGCGCGGTGGCTCAAGCCTATAATCCCAGCACTTTGGGAGGCTGAGGCGGGTGGATCACAAGGTCAAGAGATCGAGACCATCCTGGTCAACATGGTGAAACCCCATCTCTACTAAAAAATACAAAAATTAGCTGAGCATGGTGGTGCGCGCCTGTAATCCCAGCTACTCAGGAGGCTGAGGCAGAATTGCTTGAACTGAGGAGGCGGAGGTTGCGGTGAGCCGAGATCGCGCCATTGCACTCCAGTCTCGGTAACAACAGCGAAACTCCGTCTCAAAAAAGAAAAAAAAAAAAGACATGAACTAACAAAACAAAAAAAGAGAGAGTTATAAGGTCTCAGGGAAGCCCTTCATCAAATGTACTTGTTATTGTCAAATATGAGCTGTCTTTTCAGGAGCCTCCCAGTGTTACCAGCCTTGGCCATGCATTAGAATCACCTGGGAACTTTTAAAAAATTTGTAGGCATATGGATAACTCCGTGTTGATATTCACTTGGGGTGGCTGGCAAAATATTAAAGGTATTAATTATTAGGAAAAGTTATAGATTGTAATCTCAAACCTTTCGGAAGGCCCAAAGGTTTTATTGAGGCATGCTGAAGGCAGCCACCTCATTCGTATTAGCATAGGAAAGAGATAGGGCCAATCAAAGGCCTTACCCCACATCCCTTTGTCTCCACTGTGCTTACTCATGTAAATTTTGTGCTGGGTGGGCCCCTCCAAGGAAGATCAAAGGGGAATTACCTGTTTAATAGCATTTGCTCTGCGCCCCCCAACCTGAAGCTTTTATCAGTTGTAAAACCATTCTCTTAATCATGTTAATTATCCACAAGTGTGTTAATTTAGAACCTCTGTTGTAACATCCAGGGAATAAATGTGTGGATGGACAGAGGGTCTTGGTGGATTGGTTGCATTTCACCCTCACCCACTTGTATCACTCCACTCCTGCAACCTGTGGAATCATAGTCTCCAGGGATGGGACTGGAGGCTGCAATTTTGAAAGCCCCCTGAGTGATCACTCAGCCAAGGTGGAGAACAGCTGGGGCCAAGTCCTGGCCCACTCTGTCAGCTCATAGAGGGCTGCCAACATCTTAGACTTGCTAATATCACTCAGCAGTTGAGCAAAGAGAAGGGACTAAATAAACATAGTCTGAAGGAGTAGACAAAGCATTTCAAACAAACCCTTTAGGGCTGGGCCCAGTGACCCATGCCTGTAATCCCAGCACTTTGGGAGGCCGAGGTGGGCAGATCACTTGAGACCAGGAGTTCGAGACCAGCCTGGCCAACATGGTGAACCCTGTCTCTATTAAAAATATAAAAATTAGCCAGATGTGGTGGTGCACATCTGTAATCCGTTACTCAGGAGGCTGAGGCAGGAGAATAGCTTGAGCCCGGGAGGCAGAGGTTACAGTGAGCCAAGATGGCGCCACTGCACTCCAGCCTGGGCTACAGAGTGAGACCCTGTCTCAAAATCAATCAATCAATCTACTAAAACACTTTAGGTTGGGCATGGTGTTGCATGCCTGCAGTCATGGTTCCTGTCTCCTACCGTTTGAGGATTAAAGGAAATGCTGTATGTAGAGCACTTGGCATGTATTAAGTGCTCAATCAAGAGTAGTTCCTGCAGCCTGGTGAGAAAAATGGCTCACACCTGTAACCACATGTTGGGAGGCTGAGGCCTCCTAAGGAGGACCCCTTGAGGCCAGGAGTTTGGGATAAGCCTGGGCAATAAAAAGAAACCCCACCACCACCACCATCTCTACAAAAAATAATAAAAATTAGCTTGGCATAGTGGTACACAGCTGTAGTTCCAGCTACTCAGGAGGCTGGAGTGGGAGGATCAACTTGAGCTCAGGAGTTGGAGGCTGTAATGAGCTGTGATTGCCGCTGCACTCCAGCCTGGGCTACAGAGCGAAGGCCCTTTCTCTAGAATGAAAAAGAGAGAGTAGCTGCCACTTTCAGTGTTGTTGATAAAGCAGGTGGATGTTTCTGAAAATGCAGCAGACACAGCCTTAGACTGGAAGAGGCTGATGAGTTACTGAGCCCCCAGACAAAGCTGGCAGAGCCACCAGAGCGGGGCTGTGTGACTTGAGAAGCTGTTCTATATATGAGGGTCCATGTTAGGCAATCGCTTTTTTTTTTTTTTGAGATGGAGTTTCACTCTTGTTGCCCAAGCTAGAGTGCAATGGCATGATCTTGGCTCACTGCAACCTCCATCTCTTGGGTTCAAGTGATTCTCCTGCCTCAGCCTCCCATGTAGCCAGGATTACAGGTGTGCGCCACCATTTTTTGTATTCTTACTAGAAACAGAATTTCACCGCATTAGCCAAGCTGGTCTCGAACTCCTGACCTCAAGTGATCCACCCACCTTGGCCTCCCAAAGTACTGGGATTACAGGTGTGAGCCACTGCACCCAGCCCTATGTTAGGCATTATTAAAGAAAAGGATTGGGGGCAGTAGCTTTCCTGTAGCAAGTGCTCACTATGTGCCAGATACTGGGCAAAGGAGTTTGCAGACATCTCTCATTTTATCCTCACAATCCATGAGGCAGGTATGACTATTCTTCCCACTGTGCAGAGGGAAAACAAGTCACATGGAAGTACGTCACACAGCAGAGCTAGGATTGGAACGGAAGCGCCTGCATCCCGCCCGCTGTGCTATGCCTCCCCTTGATGCTTTCCTGTGTCTGCCACTTAGCTTTGCTCTGGTGAGTGACAAGCTGTATCAGCGGAAAGAGTCTGTCATCAGTTCTGTGCACACCAAGGTGAAAGGGATAGCAGAAGTGAAAGAGGAGATAGTGGAGAACGGAGTCAAGAAGCTGGTGCACCACGTCTTTGACACCGCAGACTACACCTTCCCTTTGCAGGTAAGCACCTTATAGTGTTCTCCCAGGCTTGTCGCTTTGCCAGGGCCTTGCCTGCCCCTTTTCCCTAGGACCTAGAGCCCCGCTCCAGAAAAAAACATTGGCCCTATTTTAAAAGCTCTGTGAACATCCCAACTGAGAAAACCTAAAAATTGCAAAACTGGGTGAGATCCAGCAGCTCAGAGGAGACGATTCTTTGCTTTATGAAGTCCTACAGGGTTCCTCAAAATAGCAGCATGTCCTGAGTGCGTTGAAAACAGGATTAGATTCACTCACGCTTGATGTATCCGCAGCTTTTTAGAGGCACAGCCACCAAGCCAGCAAAGTCTGCCTAGATTCAGGACAGAGAACTTTCTATGAAGAGCACCAGTCTTTCTAGATTGTCTGTGTGGCATTTTATCAACAAAAACGTCTCCAGGAGATCATTCTTGGGTACATTTTTGTACAAAGAAAGGATGTAAATGACAAAAAGAGGAAAGGCGTCCGTCACAGAGAGAAGAGACTAATTTAGAGACTGACTAAATTTAAAAGCAGAGAAAATGAAAGCAGCATGGCCAAAAAGGAGAAATTAAAGTAGGGTTGAAGAGGCCAAAAAAAACAGATAAGGGGCTGGGAGGGACAAAGGGGCACATTTGCAGCCTCTGGGAGCTAAAACGCTTTGCAAAAACCCCTAAAGCCCAAGCCGCTGTTTGCTTCTAACAGTGTCAAGAAAATCCTGTGATTCCTCAGGTGGTGGGATGCTCTCGTGCCCCTTAATTAAAGTCTGAGAACATCTGAACGGTGGTCCGACGAAGGCTGCTCCCTTACCCTCGCCTCCCCAGGTCTCTTGAGTTTCAATGTAATGAGATTTTACTGTGTAAAAAAATACAAAAAGGCTGCTTTTGAGACTGCTTTGGTAAACGACTCCTCAATCCATTCGAATGTTCCTTCGCTGTTCTCAGCTCAGCAGGGCTGCTCCTCCAGCTTTGAGATTAAGCCCTCGGCATATTCCAAGTTGCCCACAGACCCTGATTTCTAGAAGCTTAGAAAAGTGGAGAGGTTCACCCCCAGGCACTTAGCAAGCTGGATTCTTATAATTAAGTAGCTTCTCTTTTCAAAGGCCTTGCATTGCCTTAGGGTCTCCTTCTCCGCAGGGGAATTCTTTCTTCGTGATGACAAACTTTCTCAAAACAGAAGGCCAGGAGCAGCAGTTGTGTCCTGAGGTAAGAAGGGGACCGGGAGTGGTGGATTGGGTCATAAGAGTTCCTGGGGGAGGTGCAGGTCAAAAGCAGCAGAAATTAGGACCCTGAGCTGTATTTGAGCCGACAAATATTTACTGAGTACCTGCCTCTTTTGTAGGGTAGGGCTGGGCTGAGTGGAGGAAGGGAGAGAACACACCCACTTAGAGTCTCAGCCCCTGCATCAGGCGCAAGTGCCCCCATGACTCCCCACCACCCCAGACAGTCTTTCCCAACTTGGCTTTGCTCTCTCCACAATGCTGCCCCTTTCTGGAAAACCTTCTTCCCTATCAAATCATATTTGTTTTCTTCTGGGCCAGGTGTGGTGGCTCACACCTATAACCCCAGCACCTTGGAAGACCGAGGCAGGAGGATCCCTGGAGCCCAGGAGTTCAAGACCAACCTGGGCAACATAGTGAGACCTTGTCTCTAAAAACAAAATAAAACGAAAACTGTATTTGTACTATTGTGTACCTCACCATCCTGCTCTCTGCTCTTCAAGATGAAAACCAGCTATTCTTCTAAGTTTATCTTTACCAGTGTGTTACTGTTACACGTTACCTGTAACTCCCAACCTCCCAGCCTCCCCTCTCAGGTAATGTAACCGTGCTGTATCAGGGACCATTCCCAACACTGAGGGATGCAGCAGCACTGGTAATACCCAGCCAGATTCCCCACTGATGAGTAGGACCAGCCCTGCTGGTAGGGTTTTGCTCACAGGCCCACTCTGGCAACAAGGTCTAGCTTCCTGAGTGTCCAGGAGCTCCGGGCAAAAATGCCGTCTTCAAGTACATCATTTGTACCCAAACTCGGAACCAAGATGACATCCCCTTGGTGTGTATCTTGATAACACTTCCCCTAAAAGGAGAGCTCTCTACGTTTGTGTTGTCCTCATCTACCCTTAACTATCCCTGCTGCTCAGATGAAATCTCTTGACAGCCAGGCCAGCCTAGCCCTCCCTTCTGCCTCCCTTCCTAGCAGTATTCCATCTCCAATCCACTTTGGGGGCCCTGGTTTTCTTTTGTCCCATTCTCTGGTCATCTCTACACCATATACCACACTCCACCCCTGTGTACACAAAAGACACTTTTGGAGTTATTGAGACTTGGAAGAAAAGAGAGTTAGGATAGCCCAGAGATTAAGACCCTGGGCTCTGAAGGTTCAAAACTTAAACTTCTTAGCTCTGTGACCTCAGGCAGGCGACTCTTCACCTCTCTGTGCCAAATTGTGTGCATCTGTAAAATGGGGCTGAGAACAAAACCTAGCTGTTAGGATTGTTGAAACAAATAAGTGAATACCTGTGACATGCTTAAAACAAGGCATGGTACATTATAATCACTCAATGAATGTCAGCTGTTATGATTCAAATGCCATGTTACTCCTCCTCAGATGGGATGTCACTCAGAGTGGTTGGAACCCAACAGGCTCCGTGGGTGTACTGCCAGCCCAGAGAGCACATGTGACTCTTTGGGATTTTAACTTATGCTCTGGGCTGGTTTGGGCTGGTCTAATTGAACATTTGCCTCCTCTCTGCCCACCAACACACACTCTATCTCTGGTTGTCTTGGTAAATATCACCAAGTCCCAGTTATACACCAACATGGATAGATCAGTTATGTGTTGCTACAAAACAAACTACCCTGATTATGGTGGACTTAACACAAGCATTTATTAACTCTCACAGGTCAATGGTTGACTAAGTTCAGCTGGGCGGTTCTTCTGCTGGTCTCACCAGGGATCTCTTATGGAGTTGCAGTTGGATGGCAGCTGGGGCTGGCATTCTTTGGAGCCTCAGTTGGCACCCAGGGATGGCTGAACATCTCTTCTTCTCTGGGTACCCCCAAGACTTTTCCTCTGTGCAGTCTCTCCACATTGTCTCTCTAGCAGGGTAGTCAAACTTTCTAATAGTGACTCAGGTTTCTCAAAACAAAAAAATAGAAGTTTCCAGGCCTTCTTAAGGCTTAGGCCTGGAACTGGCAACAGCATTCCTTCTGCTGTTTCTATTGGTTTTACAGTCACAGCACAGGCTCAGCTTCAGAAAGCAGGGGGAACACTCCACCTCTCAATTGAGAAAGTGACCAAGAATTTGTGGCCATTTTTAATCCATGCAACAATTGCAAAAGAGAAGATTAAAAGAAAATTAATGCTGTTTTTTTTTTTTAATTTTAGAATTCATTTTGGAGAGCAAAATAAAACAGATTTCTGTTCTTTCCTGAGATTTATCTCCAGTTAATAATGAAAATATAACTTTCCATGAGCCACAGTGAATGATCACACATTCATTCATTCCATGACTATCAAGACCTACTATGTGTCAGGCACTTGGGCTACAAAGATATGACCTGGTATCTGCATTCAAAGGGTTCATAGTCTAATTTGGGGAATCACAGGAGGAGACCAGGGGCCTGCCAGGTGACGAGCCAGCCTGGGAAGTTATTGAGACTTGGAAGAAAAGAGAGTTAGGATAGCTCTCTTTTGAGAGAGTTTGAAAACTATTAGAAACATTCATTGAGCATGAACTATGTTCTAAATCTTTTCTTTTCATAACTCATTTAATCTTCACAACAACCACGCAAGACAAATCTGTTCACCCTGCTTTTACTAATGAGGAAATTGAGGCTCAGAGAAGCAAGTGAGTTGGCCGAGGTCTCTCGGCTACAAGATAGTGAAGCTACTGCTGAACCAGGTATACTTGGGTCCAAGAACTAGGTCTTTGACCTGAATCACTGTAGAAACCTCAAACTGCACAGATGACAAGGAGCAGAGGCTATTTTCTTTTTCTTTTCTTTATTTTTATTTTTTTGTTTGAGATGGAGTTTTGCTCTTGTTCCCCAGGCTGGAGTGCAATGATGTGATCTCAGTTCACTGCAGCCTCTGGCTCCCAGATTCAAGTGCTTCTCCTGCCTCAGCCTCCTGAGTAGCTGGAATTACAGGCATGTACCACCATGCCTAGCTAATTTTTTTGGTATTTTTAGTAGAGACAGAGTTTCTCCATGTAGGTCAGGCTGGTCTTGAACTCCTGACCTCAGGTGATCTGCTCACCTTGGGCTCTCAAAGTGCTGGGATTATAGGCATGAGCCACTGTGCCCGGACGCAGAGGCTATTTTCACACCTATGTCATGTTCTGGCATCCCCAGGACTGGCCATGCAGCCTGCTCCCTAGAAAACAGGAAGAGAATATGCATATGACCAGGGTAGCTCATTTCTCTTTTCCATGTTCTATAATTCAGCCCTGAGACCCAGCTGGTCTCATTATCTTGGGCCAGGCGAGTGTCCTGGCCAATGTCCCTCAGTTCCACTTGTCCTGCTGAGTCTCCGCACCTGTCTGCCCTACTCAGTCCTTTCAGCCACAGGGCTGCTTGGACCAGGCCTCCTGTCCTCCACACCAGCCACCATCCCTGAAAGTGATCCCTGGCTGCCCAGAACTCTGCTTTCCCCATTTTTATTGGGATATATTTCACATACCATAAAAGCCAGCATTTTAAAGTATAAAATTCAGTGGTTTTTAGTATATTCGTGGAGTTGTGCAACCAGCGCCATTGTCTAATTCCAGAATATTTTCTTTATTTTCCCTTTTCTTTCTTTCTTTCTTTTTTTTTTTTCTTTTTTTTTTTTTTTTGAGGTGGAGTTTTGCTCTTGTTGCCCAGGCTAGAGTGCAGTGGCAAAATCTAAGCTCACTGCAACCTCTGCCTCCTGCCTTAGCCTCCCTAGTAGCTTGGATTACAGGTGCACACCACCATGCCTAGTTAAGTTTTGTGTTTTTAGTAACTACAGGGTTTTACCATGTTGACCAGGCTGGTCTCGAACTTCTGACCTCGGGTGATCTGCCCACGCCGGCCTCCCAAAGTGCTGGGATTACAGGCATGAGCCACCATGCCCAGCCTTCAGAACATTTTCATCACCCACAAAGGAAACTCCAAATCCATTAGCAGTTGCTCCCCATTCTCCCCTTCCGGTGGTCCCTGGCCACCACCAATCTGCTTTCTGTCTCTAAAGATGCCTGTTCTGGACGTTTCCAAATAGGATCCTACCTGATGTGGCCTTTTGTGTCTGACTTCTTTCAGCATCATGGTTTTGTTTGTTTGTTTGTTTTAGATGGTGTCTCACTCTGTCGCCCAGGCTGGAGTGCAGTGGCATGATCTCAGCTCACTCCAACCTCTGCCTCCTGGATTTGAGCAATTCTCTACCTCAGCCTTCTGAGTGCGTGGGATTACAGGCACCTGCCACCATGCTCGGCTAATGTTTTTTGTATTTTTAGTAGAGACGGGGATTTGCCATCTTGGCCAGGCTGGTCTTGAACTCCTGACCTTGTGATCCACTGCCTCAACCTCCCAAAGTGCTGGGATTACAGGCATGAGCCACTGCGCCTGGCCTAGCATCACGTTCTTGAGATTCATCTATGTTGTAGCCTGCGTCAACGCTTTGTCCTTCTATGGCTACATACGATTCTGTGTATGAATGTACCACATTTTATTTGTCCATTCATCCATCAGAGGCCGCTTGCATGGTTTCCATGTTTTGGCAATTCTGAGTACTGCTGCTGTAAACATTGATTTGCACCTTCTGGTGGACATAAATCACTTCTCCATGTCTTAGTAACACATATCATTTACTCCCCACTCTCTCATCCTTCTCTCTGCAGTATCCCACCCGCAGGACACTCTGTTCCTCTGACCGGGGTTGTAAAAAGGGATGGATGGACCCACAGAGCAAAGGTACCTTCTGCTTCTTTTCGTGAGACCCTAGGGATGGGTGGTCTGGCATCGTGGTAACATTTGCGATGCCCAGTTCAGGCCTTCAGCCTCTGCTCTCAGCTGCCTTCTTCCACCATCACCAAGCCATAGGTGAGTCTGCCCATGCTTCGACTCTGTCCCCAGCAGACCAGCTGCTGACTGTAAACGTGATACCAGTTTCCCAGTGAGAGAAGCTCTGAAAAGCTTCGCAGGGTCAAGGTTCTCATTGGTAGAAAAATCACATGGCCCGGCATGGCACCGTGGCTCACATCTGTAATCCCAGCACTTTGGGAGGCTGAGATGGGCAGATCATAAGGTCAGGAATTCGAGACCAGCCTGACCAACATGGTGAAACCCTGTCTCTACTAAAAATACAAAATTAGCCGAGTGCGGTGGCACTTGCCTATAGTGCCAGCTACTCAGGAGGCTGAGGCAGGAGAATCCCTTGAGCCCAGGAGGCAGAGGTTGCAGTGAGCCAAGATCATGCCACTATACTCCAGCCTGGGCAACAGAAAGACTCTCTGTCTCAAAAGAAAAATCACATGGCCCATAGCACCACCTGAGTTTTCTAAACATTCTCCCTGAATCTCCTCAAAGGTTGAGGATCATGAACGTATACACTCAGGGCACCTGGCAGCAATACCCGTGTTAACCTGCAGAATTTTTTTATTTTTTACTTAAAACTTTTTTTTTGTATTATTTTATTTTTCTTTTGATTTTATTTATATCTAAGAACCATGCTATTGCAATACCTACAGAATTGCTTTATCTCATGTTTTAACTTAAAAAAGCACAGGGGACCAGGTACAGAGGCTTGTGCCTGTAACCTCAGCACTTTGAGAGGGTGAGGTAGGTGGGTCACTTGAGGTCAGGGGTTTGAGACCACACTGGTCAACATGGTGGTGTACTAAAAATACAAAAACCAGCCAGGTGTGACGGTGCACACTTGTAATCCCAGCTACTTGGGAAGCTAAGGCAAGAGAATTACTGGAACCTGGGAGGCAGAGGTTGAAGTGAGCTGAGATCACACCACTGCACTCCAGTCTGGGCGACAGAGCAAGACTCTGTCTCAAAAAAAAAAAAAAAAAATCAGTGGTTATAATGCAAACACACAGAAAAAGGCATATAACCATTCTTTTATTCTGCTCCACACTATATGGGTATTTGAGTTGATACAAAGATTTTAACATTGCTCACTATTTATTTTTCCCTTGGAAACTGGTTCATCGTCCTGACACCCCAGGAAGATGCGCCATGTTAATTTCATGGCTTTGCGCATGCTGCACAGGCTGTGTACCCCTTGAGGGACCTGCGCCCCTTTAAGAGGCCATGTTCTAGTCCATTTATACTGAGAGCATACACCTGTTCTGCTCCCCTCAGGGGCATCTTTTCTTGTAAAGAAACAAAAGGAGCCAACAGAATCCACAGTCTTTCTGTGTTGTCTCTGATCGTTATTAGGAAGCTCGTCATCCAATGTTTTGCTCGTCTGCTTTGCCTTGTGTTCGCTATGGTTAGGGTGGGGCTGATGGACGCTGAAGTCGTTGTGATTAGGATGGGGTTGATAGATGCTGGAGTCGTGGTCAGGATGGGGGAGGGCAGCTGAACTGCGTGGGTTGGAAAGCCTGGTCAAAGCCTAATCTCTAGCCTGGGTCGAGTTAATGACGTCCCTCCTGGAGAACTTCCTCTCCACAGTCCTTTCACATCTGTGGTTCTGCGATGCTTTGACCTCCACAGGAATTCAGACCGGAAGGTGTGTAGTGTATAAAGGGAACCAGAAGACCTGTGAAGTCTCTGCCTGGTGCCCCATTGAGGCCGTGGAAGACGCCCCCCGGTGAGTCGCGTGGGGAGACAGACCGTGGCCCTCGGCAGCGGCCAGATGAGGCCTTGCTGAGGCTGCCTGGGCTTTCCCCTCTCAGCATAGCCCTGCCAAGTCCTGGGTCCTACTGGCTTGAGGACCCCATGCTCTGGATACACTGCTTGGTACAAACCAGAGTCTCTGGGAGGGCTATGGTGGTTGGTAAACTACTGTAATGATTCTGTACCAGCTGGTAAATAGCTACTACCCTGAGCATCCTTGGGTGTCCCTGGCCCCCTTCCCTCCCCCAGCTCTTCCAGGGCACCTCCAGACCTCTCCTCTAGTGCCACAGCAGGGTCCCTTCCAACTTGTCAGTGTCTATACTGAGTGACTAAGAATAGGAAGGAAGGAGGGAGATGAAAGGGAAGGATGAAGCAAGGGAAGAGAAGGGGAAGGGGAGGGAAAAGGAGAAGCGGTGAGGGCAAAGGAGGGGAGGGAGAGGGAAAGGGCGTTTTCTCAAATTAAATGCTCACAGTGACATACAGATTTGGTGGTCCCCTGTATTGATTTTTATTGTCAACACACAAAGTCAGGATGTTAAATCTCAGCAGCCACAAGCGCTGATGCATTTCAGCAGGGAATAGTTAGACCTGGATTCAATTCGTAGCTCTAACACATTTTTGCTGTGTGTCCTTGGACAAGTGGCTGAACCTCTCTGAGTTTCAGTATCCTCGTCTGTAAAATCAGAATAATAATTTCGCCAACCTCATAGGGCTGTTGTAAGGATTAAATGAGATGATACTTGTCCAGTTATTGTAAAGTAAGCCTCATGTCTGTCTTATACACACACACAATCTGCCCCTAGGAGTGTGGTGGTCCAGCATTGTCCAACTTTATGCAGTGATAGAAATGTTTTGTATATGTGGTGTCCAATAGGGTAGCTACTAGGTACATGTGGATGGCTACTGAGTACATGAAATGTGACTACTACATTTTTTAAATATAGATAGATAGATAGGTCTTGCTCTGTTGCCAGGCTGGTTTTGAGCTCCTGGACTCAAGCAATCCTCCCTCCTTGGCCTCCCTAAATTTTGGGATTACAGGTGTGAGCCGCTGCTCCCAGCCTGAATTTTTAATTAAATTTAAATCTAAATAGCCACACATGCCTAATGGCTACCATACTGAACAGCGCAGCTCTAGACCAGTATGATTCAGGATCATTCCCTCAGCATCCCTGGGCAAAGAGAAAACGGCCCCACGCTGGCTTGTAGAAGGCTCAGGTGAAGTTTTCCCAGTGTCAGGGTGGGATGCACTCAGAAGCGTCACCCCCCACGGTCCTCAATCGCTGATAGCTCCACTCAGGCTCATTTCTAGGGCAGGGAAGTTTGTTTGACATAGAAGGAATCACCCAGCTCTGGGAGATAGAGCAGCCTACATTCAAGTAGTCCTTGGTTCAAGACAAGGGGCCCTTGGCTGGCTGTGGTTTCAGTTCCAGCTCTGCCATCAACTCATTCCTCAGATAAACTGTGCATCTCCAGTGTGCCTGCCTCTGGGCTAGATTTTGACATGGCCTTGGGCAAGCAACTCCCTGCACTTCAGTTTCTCATATATCATGTGAATTAGCTAAGATAGTTCATTAAATCATTCATTCAACACATCCATCACCATGTAGTAGGTGTTTGATATTTATTTCATATGTAACTATGCACAAGAGGCTGCTAAATTTTAGGTAAAATACAAGTCCCAGATATGGAGTGAGTCCCAACCACTGTACATACCTGAATGTATAATTATATCAGTGTGAGAGGTGTCACAGTAAATGCCATCGGGTCTTGCATTAGTCTGTTCTCACTATAAAGAACTACTTAGCCGGGTGCGGTGGCTCACACCTGTAATCCCAGCACTTTGGGAGGCTGAGGCAGGTGAATCATGTGAGGTCAGGAGTTCAAGACCAGCCTGGTCAACATGGTGAAACCCCGTTTCTACTAAAAAATACAAAAATTAGCCAGGTGTGGTGGCGCATGCCCATAATCCCAGCTACTCAGGAGGCTGAGGCAGGAGGATCACTTGAACCCAGGAGGTGAAGGCTTCAGTGAGCCAAGATGGCACCACTGCACTCCAGCCTGAGTGACAGAGTGAGACTCCATCTCAAAAGAAAAAGAACTACCTGAGACTGAATACTTTATGAAGAAAAGAGGTTTTAATTGACTCAGAGTTCCACAGGCTTAACAGGAAGCATGGCTGGGAAGCCTCAGGAAACTTACAATCATGGCAGAAGGCGAAAAGGCAGCAGGTACATCGTACTATGATGAAGCAGGAGCAGGGTTGTGGGGGATGTGCCACACACTTAAACGATCAGATCTTGTGAGAACTCACTCACTATCACAAAAACAGCAGGGGAGAAGTCTGCTCCCATGATTCAATCGCCTCCATGGGAATTACAATTTGAGATGAGATTTGGGTGGGGACGTAGAGCCAAACCATATCAGATCTCAAGAAGGGAGAAATTCTTCTTGGAGAAGCTGGAGATGCTTTGTGGAGTCTCAGCATGCTTTGCCCACTGTTTGGTGTATCCATTTCTCTTCACTCGTCCCAAAGACCAAACCAAGAAACCAGAAGCCTCTGGTCCCACCGGCCCACAGACTCCCTCGGTCCCTGCAGTCACTAATGGCCATTTTGCATGTCTCTCTCCCAGCCCTGCACTCTTGAACAGTGCCGAAAACTTCACTGTGCTCATCAAGAATAATATCGACTTCCCCGGCCACAACTATACCACGTAAGTGCCCAGGCTGCCTGGCTGTGTGAGTTATCCACTGCTGCGTAGTGAATTCTCCCAAACCTCAGATGCCTGAAACAGCAAACGCCTATTGTCTCCCACGGTGTCTGTGGGTCAGGAATCTGGGAGTGACTTTGCTGTGTGGTTCTGAATCAAAGTCTGTCAGGTTGTAGCCAAGCTGTCAAGCAGGGCTGCAGTCAGTTCTGGGCTTGACTGGGGCTGGAGAATGCTTTTCCAAGCTCTCCACAGTTGGTGGGAGGGCTCAGTTCCTCACCAAGTGAACCTCACCCTAGGGCCACTTGAGTGACCTTGGGATATGGTGGCTGGCTGCCCCCAGAGCAAGGGACCCAAGAGACTGAGTAAGCAACCAAGAGTATAACGAGGATGGAAGCCAGAGTCTTTGGGAGCGACACTCCCACGTTTCCGCCATATGCTATTGGTCACACAGGCCGACTCTGGTCTAATGTGGGAGGTGGGGATCACTTGGGGCTTTTCATGGAACCTTTCTAACATACTGGCTCACTTCTGGGAAAGAGACAGATCTGTTTTCTTTTCTTTTCTTTTCTTTTTTTTTTTTTTTTGAGACAGTCTTGCTCTTGTTGCCCAGGCTGGAGTGCAATGGCGCAATCTTGGCTCACCGCAACCTCCGCCTCCCGGGTTCAAGCGCTGCTCCTTCCTCAGCCTCCTGAGTAGCTCAGACTACAGGCATGCGCCACCACAGGCAGCTAATTTTGTATTTTTAGTAGAGACGGGCTTTCTCCCTGTTGGTCATTCTGGACTCGGCCTCCTGACCTCAGGTGATCTGCCCGCCTCGGCCTCCCAAAGTGCTGAGATTACAGGTATGAACCACCGCACCTGGCCAAGAGACAGACCTGTTTTCAAAAGAGGTGTTTATTTGTGTGTTTGCTTTTAATTATGCACAGGAGAAACATCTTGCCAGGTTTAAACATCACTTGTACCTTCCACAAGACTCAGAATCCACAGTGTCCCATTTTCCGACTAGGAGACGTCTTCCGAGAAACGGGAGATAATTTTTCAGAAGTGGCTATTCAGGTTGGTGGCGCTTTGTGTACCTGGATGTGGGGTGGGGGTGTGTGGAGATGGAGAATGTCAAATAGCCAAGAGGCCGGGCCACTGGGTCTTCATAATGCTGCTCACATTTACTTAGCATTTAGTAAATCCACGCACTGTGCCAAGGGCTATGCTACCTATGCTACCTCATTGAATCCCAAAACAATCTTAGGAGTGAGACCTACTTGGTGTATTCCTTTCCTGTGGCTGCTGTAACAAGTTACCAAAGTTTAGTGGCTTAAAACAACACATATTTTCTTTTCTTTTTCTTTTTTTTTTTTTTTTTTTTGAGACAGAGTCTGGCTCTGTCAGGCTGGAGTGCAGTGGCGCAATCTTAGCTCACTGCAACCTCCACCTCCCAGGTTCAAGCGATTCTCCTGCCTCAGCCTCCTGAGTAGCTGGGATTACAGGAATGTGCCACCATACCCAGCTAATTTTTTTGTATTTTTGGTAGAGACGGGGTTTCATCATGTTGGCCAGGCTGGTCTCGAACATCAGACCTCATGATCTGCCTGCCTCAGCCTCCCAAAGTGCTAGGATTATAGGCATCTATAATGTGGACTTGATCTTTAATGGGAGTGTTGGGGGCATTAAAGCTGTCTGAGTGCAGGAATGGTCTGTTGAAAGTAGTATTTCAGGACAATGAATTTAACGGCAGTGTGTCCCTGATGGGAGCGGGGAGAGTGAGGAGACGCGTTTGTGGCTGCCACAGTCACGCTTATGCGAGTTAGATGGGGCAGTACATACGGTTCTTTAATCAGCCTTTTTCCTCTAAAAACCTTGAGCGATCACGGCTGTGCAGGGAGATGTCTGGCGGTTGCATAACTCACTCCCAGCTGCCGTAGAGACTCTCTTGTTGACTCCTTCAGGGCGGAATAATGGGCATTGAGATCTACTGGGACTGCAACCTAGACCGCTGGTTCCATCACTGCCGTCCCAAATACAGCTTCCGTCGCCTTGACGACAAGACCACCAACGTGTCCTTGTACCCTGGCTACAACTTCAGGTAACTCCAGGGCCCCAAGTCAGACTCACCCAGTGGCTGAATTGCAACCCCAGCAGTTGGTGAGACTAATTTTGGTTCCCAAAGCAACAAGATGAATAAAAAAAGACTTTCTCTAAGAACCAGACCGGGTTCAGTGGTTCATGCCTCTTGGCCCAGCACTTTGGGAGGCCAAGGTGGGCTGATCAATTGAGGTCAGGGGTTCGAGGCCAGCCTGAGCAACATGGTGAAACCCTGTCTCTACCAAAACTACAAAATTAGCCGGGCTTGGTGGCACGCACCTGTAATCCCAGCTACTTGGGAAACCGAGGCAGGAGAATTGTTTGATCCTGAGAGGTGGAGGTTGCAGTGAGCCAAGATTGCACCTTTGCACTCCAGCCTGGGTGACAGAGCAAGACTCCGTCTCAAAATTAATTAATCAATTAAAAAAACTAGGTGGTGACTAAACTTTCAGCATTTTTTTTTAATTCTCAGAGATGCACACTCTTTTTTTTTTTTTTTGAAACAGAGTCTTGCTGTGTCACCACCCAGGCTGGAGTGGAGTGGCGCAATCTCAGCTCACTACAACCTCCACCTCCCAGGTTCAAGCAGTTCTCCTGCCTCAGTCTTCCAAGTAGCTGGGATTACAGAAGGATGCACCCTTTTTATAAAACAAAACTAATGGGTAACAGAAAAGCATAGAGGGGGATAGAAATGACTCATAATTCCCCTACCCTGAAATAATCAATGATAACCGTCAGAGAAATTTTCCTCGCCTACACCAATTATTTCACGAGGCTCCTGGGAGATCATAGCATATGTATACTTTGGTATTCTATGGGGTTTTTCATGCCCCAGTCACTCACCATCCTTTGTAACCACACTAATGACTGTAACATTCCATGTGTGGGTGCACAAATAACACCTGCTAAAATTCAGGAAGGAAATTTTCTTTTCTTTTTTTTTTTTTAAGATGGAGTCACACACTGTCACCCAGGCTAGAGTGCCATGGCACAATCTCAGCTCACTGCAACCTCTGCCTCCTGGGGTCAAGCAATCCTCCAGCCTCCCAAGTAGCTGGGACCACAGGCATGTGCCACCACACCCAGCTAAATTTTGTATATTCAGTAGAGACAGGGTTTCACTATGTTGGTCAGTCTGGTCTCAAACTCTTAACTCAAGTGATCTGCCTGCCTCAGCTTCCCAAAGTGCTGGGATTACAGGCATGAGCCACGGCACGCGGCTCAGGGAGGGTTTTCTATAACAGGCAGTCAGCATCATCATCCCCAAATCTCCCAACAACCCTGGAAGAAAGATTTTATGGTTTCTGGAAGATGATTTGCCCAAGACCCACAGCTGATAGTAGATGCTGCGTAATTCTAACCAACATCACCCTGACCCCACACTCACCCTCCATCCCTTCCTTCCCATCTCATGATTTTCTTACCCATGCCTCCATGATTGAATATTTGAGTTGTTTCCAGTTTTTCTATTACAGGTAACTGCAGTGTGCATCTTTGCACATAAACTTTTCTTTGAATTTCAGGTTACTTCCTTAGGATAAACTTCTATACTTATTGAATCAAAAGTTGTGAACATTTCATTATATGCTTTCAGATTTTTCAAAGCATCTATGGTTGGCCAGGTGCAGTGGTTCATGTCTGTAATTCCAGCACTTTGGCCGAGGCAGGAAAATCACCTGAGGTCAGGAGTTCGAGACCAGTCTGACCAATATGGAGAAACCCTGTCTCTACTAAAAATACAAAATTAGCCTGGTGTGATGGTATGCACCTATAATCCCAGCTACTCAGGAGGCTGAAGCAGGAGAATCGCTTGAACCCAGGAGGCAGAAGTTGTGGTAAGCCAAGATGGCACCATTACACTCCCAACCTGGGCAATAATAGCGAAACTCTGTCTCAAAAATAAATAAATAATAAAAATATCTATGGTTATAATGATTTTTCTTCTGAGACAGACTGTTACTCTGTCGCCCAGGTTGGAGTGGAATGGGTATGATTATAGCTCACTGCAACCTCTGCCTCCAAGGCTCAAGCGATCGTCCCACCTCAGCCTTCTGAATAGCTAGGTCTACAGGCGCACACCACCATGCCCAGCTAATTTTCAAAAATTTTTTGTAGAAAGGGGGTCTCACTATATCACCCAAGCTGGTCTCAAACTCCTGGGATCAAGCAATCCGCCTGCCTCAGCCTCCTAAACTGTCAGAATTACAGGTGTGAACCACTACGTCTAGCCTGTAATTTTCATTTCTAGGATTTTTATTTGGTTCTTTTTCAAAGTCATCTATTATTGTTCCAATGAGTCCCATTCTACCTTAAGGATCCTACTCCTTCTGTTCATTCTACTGTATCATTCTTTTTTACTTTTTATTTATTTTTATTTTTTTGAGATGGAGTCCCACCTTGTTGCCCAGGCTAGAGTGCAATGGCTCAGTCTCGGCTCACTGCAGTCTCCACCTCACAGGTTCAAACGATTCTCCTGCCTCAGCCTCCCAAGGAGCTGGGATTAAAAGCGTCCGCTACCACACCCAGCTAATTTTTGTATTTTTAGTGGAGACTCCTGACCTCATGATCTGCCTGCCGCGGCCTCCCAGAGTGCTGGGATTACAGGAGTGAGCCACTGCACCTGGCCCTATATCATTCTTTTGTTGACAAGAAGGGCTACTTGAACTCTCCTACTGGTGGGGCTGTAAAATGGTACAACCACATTAGAGAATTGCCAAGAAATTTCTTATCAAGTTAAGCATACACCAACCCTATAATCTAGAAATCTCACAGTCCCATTCTTAGGTGTTTGCCCAAGAGAAATGAAGATATATGTCCACACAAAGATTCATACAGAACGTTCACGGGAGCCTTATTCGCAATAGCCAAAAACCAGAAACAACCCAAATGTCCAACAATAGGTGAATGGATAAATTGTGATGTATTTATATAATAAAACCCTACTCAGCATAAATTTTAAAAGAAACTACTGATACATGCAAGAGCATAGATGAATCGGTCCCACAGTAATTATGCTGAGTGAAAGAAGCCAGACCGAAATACTACAATACTGTATGACATTTATATAACGCTCAAGAAAAGGCAAAGCTCATTTTAGACAGAAGACAGACCAGTGGTTGCTGAGCTGAGGAGGGCATGGGGTAAGCACTGACTACAAAGGAGTACAAGAGAGTTTTCTAAGATAATGGAATGTTCCAGATTTTGATAGGGATATCAATTTTTTTTTTTTTGAGACAGGTCCCATTCTGTCACCCTGGTTGGAATGCAGTGGTACCATCTTGGCTCACTACAGCCTCCACCTCCTGGGCTCAAGCAGTCCTCACATCTCAGCCTCCTGAGTAGCTGGGACTACCAATGCAAGCCATCACGCTCAACTCATTTAAAAACAATTTTTTTTTTGTAGAAACTGGGTCTCAGTATATTACCAAGCATAGTCTCCTGTCTTGACCTTCCGACATGCTGGGATTACAAGCATGAACCACTGTGCCCGGTTGGGATATAGATTATACCAGGTATTTATTTGTCAAATCTCATTGACTGGAACCCTTAGAATTTGTGCATTTTATCATATGTAAATTATTTCTCAATAGAACAAATCCAGCCAAACCATCACACATAATGATAAGTGCCTTGAAGAAAGTCAAGCAAGATAGTCCGAAGGGGGAGACGTGACCAGGGAAAGCCTCTCCGAGCATGGGGCAGAACCCCTGAAGGCATCATACGCTTTCCTGTTTTCCTAGTTAAGAAGAAGAAAAACTGCACAGACAGGAACCCCTATCAAAATCTAGAACGTTCTGGCTGGGTGCAGGGGTTCATGCCTGCAGTCCCAGCATTTTGAGAGGCTGACAGGTGGGAGGACTGTTTGAGCCTGGGAGCATGAGACCAGATGGAAACATAGTGAGATCCTGTCTCTAAAAAAAAAAAAAATAGCAGAGCTGGATATGGTGGTGCATGCCTGTAATCCCAACTGAGGAAGGCTGAAGTAGGAGGAGCACCTGAGCCCTGGAGTTCGAGGTTACACCGAGCTGTGATCATGCCACTACATTGCAGCCTGGGCAACAGAGTGAGACACTGTCTCAAAAAAAAAAAAAAAAAAAAAAAAAGATCTAGAACATTCCATCATCCCAGAAAACTCTCTTGTACTCCTTTCTAGTCAATTCCTACCCCTACCCCCCCAGCTCAGCAACCCCTGTCCTGTCTTCCTTCATCTTACATGAGTTTTGCCTGTTCTTAAACTTCATATAAACAGCAGTATACACAGGAAGTGATTTGGAAAAGCTTATCTGAATCCCTTTAGGATTTATGGTCTAGACTGGTGGTTCTCAAAGTGCAGTCCCCAGCATCAGCATCACGTAGGAGCTTGTTAGAAATGTACATGACCGGCCAGGCACCATGACTCACATCTATAATCCCAGCACTTTGGGAGGCTGAGGCAGGCAGATCACTTGAGATCAGGAGTTTGAGACCAGCCTGACCAACATGCCGAAACCCCATCTCTACTAAAAAAAAAAAACAAAAATTAGCCAGGTGTGTTGGTGCCTGCCTGTAATACCAGCTACTTGGGAGGCTGAGGCAGGAGAATTGCTTGAACTTGAGAGGTGGAGGCTGCAGTGAGCTAAAATCACACCACTGCACTCCAGCCTGGGTGACAGGGTGAGACAGTCTCAAAGAAAAAGGGGGGGGCCTGGCGTGGTGGCTCACACCTGTAATCCCAGCACTTTGGGAGGCCAAGGCAGGCAGATCACGAGGTCAGGAGTTCAAGACCAGTCTGGCCAACATGGTGAAACACCATCTCTACTAAAAATACATAATTAGCCAGGCGTGGTGGTGCATGCCTGTAATCCCAGTTACTTAGGAGGCTGCGGTAGGAGAATCACTTGAAGGAGAATCACTGCAGCGAGCTATATTTGAGCCACTGTACTCCAGCCTGGAAGACAGAGTCAAAAAAATGAAAACATATCAACAACAACAATAGAAAGACGAATCACTCAATATAGCAGCAGGAGAAAAAGTTCTCTTGCAGTAATCACATGCAAAGAAACTGAATTCCCTCCCGTCAGAAACAGGAACTACAGTGCCTGAGAATATCTAATCGATTTCAGTGTCAGGTCTTGAGAGGGTTTTGGTGTTTTTTTGTTTTTGTTTTGTTTTGTTTTTTGAGATGGAGTTTTGCTCTTGTTGCCCAGGTTAGAGTGCAATGGCACGATCTTGGCTCACTGCAACCTTCGCCTCCCAGGTTCAAGTGATTCTCCTGCCTCAGCCTGCTGAGTAGCTGGGATTACAGTCATGCACCACCACGCCTGGCTAATTTTTGTATTTTTAGTAGAGATGGGGTTTCACTATGTGAGTCAGGCTGGTCTCCAACTCCTGACCTCGTGATCCGCCTGCCTCGGCCTCCCAAAGTGCTGGGATTACAGGCGTGAGCCCCGCATCTGGCTGAGAGGTTTTTTAAAAAGCATTTCAGATGTTCCTATTTTTCAGCAGAGCATCTGCCATCTGCTTTCTTCTCTCCCCACATCTGTATTAATAACTCAGAAAAAATATATATGTATTTATAACCTTATGTAAAAACAACTATCAAAAAGTGGTGGTAAGAAGGGGCAGATTTAAAAGTTTTATGAAGCATTCATTTTAAGCCTCTGTAATTATTCTTGAAAAACAAAATACACCACTTTTCCTGACTACAGCACTGGTGAGGACTGCATATTAGGAGAGACTGTGGTGATTTGTGCCCGGGGCTTAATTTATAAAGTTAGTACTGAGTGATGGTAGACAGAGATCAATGCCACTGAAAGAAGATTTTTTTTTTTAGATTCTTGCTCTGTCACCCAGGCTGGAGTATAGTGGTGGCGTGATCTTGGCTCACTGAAGCCTCCGCCTCCTCGGTTCAAGTGATTCTCCTGCCTCAGCCTACCAAGTAGCTGGAATTACTGGTACCTGCCACCACACCAGCTAATTTTTGTATTTTTAGTAGAGATGAGGTTTTACCATGTTGGCCAGGCTGCTCTCAAACTCCTGACCTCAGGTGATCTGCCCGCCTTGGCCTCCCAAAGTGCTGGGATTACAGGTGTGAGCCACCACACCTGGTCAAAAAGAATTTATTACATACTTTTCCCAAGAGATGGGGCCACACCACGACACGCCAGACCACACCAGGCATTGTCACACTAGACAGGGCCACAGGAGGAAGTACCAGATTTAGTGAGGAGGCAGAATTAAGGGGCAAGAATGGTCTAGAAGCTTTGTTGTGTTTTCCAATGGAAGGGCAAGGGAGGACTGGGGAAACAGCTTAGGGTTAAGGACTTTGAATAATGCCAGTGGGTTCTGGGTTCAGAGGTGGTCTCTAAATGTCTGGCCCTCACCCTACCTGCCCCTAAGGAGAAAAACTGGGGAGTTAGAAAAGGAGGTAGCTATGGGATTGATTGGAGGGATTGTAATATGATTTTCACACCCTCACAAAAGCTGGATTGCAGGAGAGATGTAAACAATTTCAGCCTTGGGACGCCAAGATGAAAGGATGGCTCGAAGCCAGAAGTTCAAGGCTGCAACAAGCTGTGATCACCCCACTGCACTGCAGCCTGGTTCAAAGAATGAGACCCTGACTCTAAAACATGTTTTAATTAATTAATTTTTTTTTTTTTGAGACAGCCTTGCTCTGCAGCCCAGGCTGGAATGGTGTGGTGCGATCTCGGCTCACTGCATCCTCTGTCTCCCGGGTTCAAGCGATTCTTAAGCCTCAGCCTCCTGAGTAGCTAGGATTAAAGGCATGTGCCACCATGCATGGCTAATTTGTATATTTTTAGTAGAGACGGGGTTTCACCATGTTGGCCAGGCTAGTCTCGAACTCCTGACCTCAAGTGATCCACCCGCCTTGGCCTCCCAAAGTGCTAAGATTACAGGCGTGAACCACCATGCCCAGCAGAAAAATTTAAAAATAAAAATTAGCCACGTGTGGTGGTGCATGCCTGTAGTCCCAACCCAGCTACTTGGGAGGCTGAGGTGGGAGTATCACTCGGGCCCAGGAGGTGGCGGTTGCCGTGAGTTAGGATCATGCCAGTGCTCTTCAATCTGGTGACAGAACAAGACCCCACCTCAAAAAACCAAACCAAAACAAAACAAAAAACACAACTTCAGCCTTTAGTTTGACCCTGTGATTAATTGCCAAATAGACACATACAGAAAGAAGCTAAGAAAATACAGTGTGCTGATGTGCGCCTCTTCCAGCCTAGTCATTGGTATCTAAGATTTACCACCAGCCACTCCCACTTTGTTCTAGATGCAAACTTATTTTTCCCCCTTAAGAAACAGTCAGATTGCTTGAAGTTATTTTTTAAATGCCTCTGCTTGATGTTAATCCTATTCTGGTTTAAAATGTGCATTTTAATCTTAAGTGACAAGCTGATTTTCCATCACTCTGAGATGATGCAAGGACAGATGGTGGCACAGGGAGGGGATGCTCTTCAGTTCAGGGTGGGAGAGAGCCACCAGGGCTTTCTTTTTTTTTTTTTTTTTTGAGACAGAGTTTCGTTCCTATTACCCACGCTGGAGTGCAATGGCGCAATCTCGGCTCACGGCAACCTCCATTTCCTGGGTTCAAGCAATTCTCCTACCTCAGCCTCCCAAGTAGCTGGGACTACAGGCTGCGCCATCATGCCCAGCTAAGTTTTGTATTTTTAGTAGAGACGGGGTTTCACCATGTTGACCAGGATGGTCTCAATCTCTTGACCTATTGATCCATCCGCCTCGGCCTCCCAAAGTGCTGGGATTACAGGCGTGAGCCACTGCGCCCGGCCAACCACCAGGGCTTTCAATCGTGTTCCTTCCCCTGCCACTTGTGGCAGAGCCAGGGACAGACCATGAGGACTAGATGGGCCACTGTGTGGGCTTTTCCTTCCATAAAATACCAGCATTTTTGGCCAGATGCGGTGGCTTATGCCCATAATCCCAGAAATTTGGGAGGCCAAGGCAGGCGAATCACTTGAGCTTAGGAGTTTGAGACCAGCCTGGGCAACATGGCAAAACCCCATCTCTACAAAAACTTCAAAAAATTCCAACCTGGCCAACATGGTGAAACCCCGTCTCTACTAAAAATACAAAAATTAGGCCGGGCACAGTGGCTCACGCCCATAATCCCAGCACTTTGGGAGGCCAAGGCGGGTGGATCATGAGATCAAGAGATCGAGACCATCCTGGTCAACATGGTGAAACCCCATCTCTACTAAAAATACAAAAATTAGCTGGGCATGGTGGTGCGCGCCTGTAGTCCCAGCTACTCGGGAGGCTGAGGCAGGAGAATTGCTTGAACTCAGAAGGCAGAGGTTGCGGTGAGCTGAGATCATGCCATTGCACTCCAGCTTGGGTAACAACAGCGAAACTCCATCTCAAAAAAAATAAAATTAGCCAGGTATGATGGCACGTGACTCTAATCCCAGCTACTCAGGAGGCTGAGGTAGGAAAATAGCTTGAACCCAGGAGGTAGAGGTTGCAGTGAGCCGAGATTGTGCCACTGCACTCACTCCAGCCTGGTGACAGTGCAAGACTCCATCTCAAAAAAATACAAAAGAATCAGCCAAGAATGGTGGTGCCTGCCTGTAGTCCCAGCTACCTGGGAGGCTGAGGTGGGAGAATCATCTGAGCCCAGGAACTCAAGGCTGCAGTGAGCAGTGATCCCGCTACTGCACTCCAGCCTAGGTGACAGAATGAGACACTGTCTCAAAAAAAAAAAAAAGAAAAGAAACCCAGGACTTTCAAAGAGATCTTTGTAAAAATAGATCTTTTTCTTCCCTCAGATATGCCAAATACTACAAGGAAAACAATGTTGAGAAACGGACCCTGATAAAAGTCTTCGGGATCCGTTTTGACATCCTGGTTTTTGGCACCGTAAGTCTCCCTTCCCAGCTCCAGGCACCTGCATCCTGGACTGTGTCCTAATGAGTGCTGTGGGGCCTCCGTGGAGGGAAGGTTTTTGGTCACAGCCATTAGCTAGCGCTGGGTGTTTCACAGGTGGGGTAAAAGGGGAGGCAGATGTCCTTGGGGTGCTGTCATCTGACCAGTACAGGAGTGGCCTGGAAGGCAATTCCCAGATTTGGCTTTAAAAATACTCTGATATGTAAAAAGAGAGAGAAATCTCTCTAAAATAGTTTGTAAGTAACAGAATCCAACTCAAATTGGCTTAAAGGAAAAAAAATTTTTTTTGAGTTGGCTTTTTCTGGTTCACATAACTGAAAAATCCAGGGTTTTTTTTATTTATTTGTTTATTTATTTTGAGATGGAATCTCGCTCTGTTGCCAGGCTGGAGTGCAGTGGCTTGATCTCAGCTCACTACAACGTCCACCTCCTGGGTTCAAGCAATTATCTTGCCTCAGCCTCCTGAGTAGCAGGGACTACAGGTGCCCGCCACCCCACCCAGCTTATTTTTGTATTTTTAGTAGAGACAGTTTCACCATGTTGGCCAGGATGGTCTTAATCTCTTGACCCCATGATCCACCTGCCTCAGCCTCCCAAGTAGCTGGGATTACAGGTGCCTGCCACCCACACTAGCTTATTTTTGTATTTTTAGTAGAGATGGGGTTTCAGCATCTTAGCCATCCTGACCTTGAACTCCTGACCTTGTGATCCACCCACTTCAGCCTCCCAAAGTGCTGAAATTACAGGCGTGAGCCACCATGCCCACCCCCCACCCTAGGGATTATTTTTAAGCTTCAAGCATGGCTGGATCCAGGGATTCAAACAACATTCTCATCAAGAACTTACTGCCCTCTGCGTCTTATATACGTACGTCCTTCTCAGTGTTGGCATCATCCCCAGACTGGCCATCTGTCTACAAAGGTATCAGGCAGCACCTTCAATCTGACTGGTTTAGCAACCTCAGTGAAAAGAAAACAACTGTTTGCCAGAAGGTTCAGCAAAGGTCTCAGATAAATGTCATTGGCTCTGATTGGCCCACTATGAATGGCATACTCACTGCTGAACTAATCACTGTGACCACAGTCCTGCCATACTCCCAGTGGTTGGTCTCGAACCAGCCTCCTAACCCAGCCCCTTCAAAACACACACACACACACACACACACACACACACACACACACACACACTCTACATGGACTGAAAAGAAAATTGGGTGTTGCCTTCTGAAGACGCAAGGAAGGGATGCCAGGTATGCAAAAATCAACAGATCCCACGACTCCCTATCCGAGAGTATGTTTTTTATGTAAGACGGTGATAAGCAGGATGAGAAGCAATGAGACAGAGCTGAGAACGCAAAGACCACTGGTAATAAAAACCCTGAGGCCACCCGAGAGACAAGTCCATGCAGACATTCCTTCCCTCTGCTTCTGAAATAATCTCAAACCTCTTGGAGGAGAAGCTTATCTAAAACCCTCGCCCTGTATGAAAAAACGACAGCCCTTCAGTGGTTCTCCCCTTAATGTGTGGGCCCCCGTGCTTGTTCATGTAAAACCTTTGTGAGTACAGGCACGCCCTGCGCAGATGAAGCAGGATGCCTGAGAGTCACTGTTTCCATCTGCATAAATAAGTCTCTGCCTTGGCGAGCACTTGAACACATCCATCCGAGTCCCAGCATGAGGCTCCACTCCCTGATAGAACCGACAAGTGCACGTTAAAGCAAAAGAGCATTGCTCTGAATTTCGCCTGAGTAAACTCTCCCACTCTGTTTTTAGGGAGGAAAATTTGACATTATCCAGCTGGTTGTGTACATCGGCTCAACCCTCTCCTACTTCGGTCTGGTAAGAGATTCTCTTTTTCGAGCTTTAGGAAAATGCTTTGGAGAAGGAAGTGACTAACGTGGGCCTGTCTGGGTTTTCCCCAGGCCACTGTGTTCATTGACTTTCTCATCAACACTTACTCCAGTAACTGCTGTCGCTCCCATATCTATCCCTGGTGCAAGTGCTGTCGGCCCTGCGTGGTTAATGAATACTACTACAGGAAGAAGTGCGAGTCCATCGTGGAGCCAAAGTCGGTGAGGCCGCTGTGTTCATAGGACACCAGGACACGGAGAGATTCCATGATGTCACTGAGAAATGCACAAAGTTAGGCCCAAATCACAGGCTTAATCCTGCAGTGGACACATCTCTGGGCTCTACCCCATCAACTGTATCTCAGATACATTATTTGGTCTTGGAGAAGAATAGAAACAAAAATGGAGGGGCAAGAGAGAGGGAAGGCAAATTTTTATGTCCAGGACTTGTCCGTTTTGTCATATATTTATTCATTTATTTATTTTTATTTACTTTCAGACAGAGTCTTGCTCTGTCACCCAGGCTGGAGTGTAGTGTCTCAATCTCGGCTCACTGCAGCCTCTGCCTCCCAGGTTTAAGTGATTCTCCTGCCTCAACCTCCCAAGTAACTGGGAGCACGGGTGCACACCACCACACCCATCTAATTTTTGCATTTTTAGTAGAGACGGGGGCTTCACTATGTTGGCCAGGCTGGCCTTGAACTCCTGACTTCAAATGATCCACCCACTTGGCCTCCCACAGTACTGGAGTGACAAGTGTGAGCCACTGTGCCTGGCTTGTTTTGTCATTTATTAAATTGGTATAGCCAAAACAAAAAAAAAAGAAAAGAAGAATAACGACTTTAGAGAACCATTCGGCAGTGACCAATCATGTTTAAATGGGACGTACTTTACAGCCTGGCATTTCCAGTTCTCCAAACCTGCCCTAGAGAAACGCTCACATGAGTACCCAAGCAGTACACATATGCAAAACGTTCCATGCAGCATTGTTTATTACATTATTAATAATGTATGATTATTCACAGTGAAGAAATGGCATCTAACCAAATATCCAATAGGTGAATGGTGAAAGAAACTATGGTAAATCCATAGAAAGGAATACCAGGCACCAGTTTAAAAAAATGAGATAGATAATAATAATGGCAGACATAGGCCGGGCACAGTGGCTCATGCCTGTAATCCCAGCACTTTGGGAGGCTGAGGCGGGTGGATCACCTGAGGTCAGGAGTTTGAGACCAGCCTGACCAATACGGTGAAACCCCATCTTTAAAAAAAAAGTAAAAAAAAAAAATAATAATAATAATAATAATAATGGCAGACATTTACACAGCGCTTCTAAATGCTTCGTATATTAACTCACTGACTCTTCACAACCACTTGGTGTAAACAGATGCTAGTATTATCTCTTTGTATTGATGAGGAAATTGAGCCACAGGAAGGTTAAATAATCGGCCCAAGGCCAGGCACGCTGGCTCACACCTGTAATCCCCTCACTTTGGAGGCTGAGGCTGAGGCAGGCAGATCGCTTGAGGGCAAGAGTTTTGAGACCAGCCTGGCCAACATGGTGAACCCCGTCTCTACTAAGAATACAAAACTTAGCCAGGTGTGGTGGTGTACACCTGTAGTCCCAGCCATTTGGGAGACTGAGGCAGGAGAACTGCTTGAACCCGGTAGGTGAAGGTTGCAGTGAGCCAAGATCATGCCACTAGACTCCAGCCTGGGTGACAGAGGGAAACTCTATCTTAAAAAAAAAAAAAACAAAAACAAAAAACATACATACATACATACATATATATGTGTATATATATGGCTTGACGAGAGATCTCCAAGATATTTTGTAAAAAGGAAAAAAAGCAAACCATCAAACAATACATATGATATATAGGTTTAAAAAAAAACACTAGACACAGAAGTTAATCTATATATTTTCTACATGTATATGCTACATATACACAAGTGTACACACATCTACATATGTGTGGGTGTATATATGTACACAAAATTGTAGCAGCAATTGCTTCTGGAAAGGAGCTTAGGTGGGGGAGAAGTCACAGGGATTTTAGCATCATCTGTATTGTTTTGGTTTGATTAATCTGGACCTTATTAAGCAGGTCCTCTGCATTCAACTCCATGATTTCCTCCAAAGAGAAATCTCTGATGCCTAAAAACAAAGACAATTTATTTGTCTTTCCCTCATTTAAGGACATGATTGTCCTGTTCCAGCAGCTGAATGCACCATTCACTGTCCATTGTACATGCATTCGCAATTTGAAATGAAAGCTCATCTCTGCAGCTAAAACTAATCACCACTTCATGGCCCAAGATGAGATGAAATTTAACAAACATATCAATAATTAAAGTTGCAGTCATACAACTTTCTGGAGATACTGAATCTACAGTCACTGAAATTGAGAGAATATAACAAAGGAATTTTATGCAGCAATTGGGGGATCCAATGTAAAAACATTAAGTAGTAAGCTGTGGCTGTGTTGAATCTACAAGCTAAGATGTGTGGGGTAGCAGGGCGTGATGGTTCACACCTCTCATTCCAGCACTTTGGGAGGCCAAGGCGGGAGGATCACAAGATCAGGAGATGAGACCATCTTGGCCAATGTGGTGAAACCCTGTCTCTACTAAAATACAAAAAATTAGCCAGGCATGGTGGCAGGTGCCTGTCATCCCAGCTACTCAGGAGGCTGAGGCAGGGGAATTGCTTGAACCCGGAAGGCGGAGGCTGCAGTGAGCTGAGATCATACCACCGCACTCTAGTCTGGAGACAGAGGGAGACTCCGTTCCCCAACACCCCCACCCCCAAAAAAAGATGCATGGTGTTCCATTTCTTTACCTTTAGACTCAGAAATCATTAATTCTTGGTTAATGAGAGTTTTGGGCTGGCTTGTTCAATAGTCTATCATTTGGCAAAGGGAATAACAATTGCCTTTAGGTAGGCAATTCTTGATAATTCTGTACAAAAGTGGGTAAACTTTTAAATCATCTTTTTCTAGACATTAAAGTATGTGTCCTTTGTGGATGAATCCCACATTAGGATGGTGAACCAGCAGCTACTAGGGAGAAGACTGCAAAATGTCAAGGGCCAGGAAGTCCCAGTAAGTTAAATCACTTTTGCTCTTTTTTTCTTAAAGAAAATTTACTATTAAATTTAAACACATCTAGAAACTTGTACAAATCAAAACTAATGGATTTTAACAAAGTAAACATACTCATGTAACCAGCACTCAGATTAAAAAACTGAAAATTACTAGCAGGAGTCCCTCTTGTGCCCCCTTCCAATCACTACCGTCTCTCTTTTTTTAATTTTAAAAATTTGGCCAAGCACGGTGGCTCACACCTGTAATCCCCATACTTTGGAAGGCCAAGGAAGCCAGATCACTTGAGGTCAGGAGTTCAAGACCAACCTGGCCAATATGGTGAAACCCCGTCTCTACTAAAAATACGAAAATTAGCTAGGTGTGATGGCACACATGTAATCCCAGCTACTCGGGAGGCCGAGGCAGGAGAATTGCTTGAACCTGAGGGATGGAGTTTGCCGTGAGCCAAGACTGTGCCACTGCATTCCAGCCTGAGCAACAGAGCAAGACTCTGTCTCAAAAAAAAAAAAAAAGATGTATTTTTTAATTACAGATGAGGTCTCACTGTGTTGCCCAGGCTGGTCTCAAGCAATCCTCCCACCTCAGCTGTACCAAACCCAGCCAACTACCCTCCCTTAAAAGTAATCATTATCCTGTATCTAAGGATTAATTTTATTTCTGCTAGAATTGTCTCGACATTGAATCATGTAGTATGTAAGCAGCATATACTCAGTTGAGTGTCTGGCTTCCTTTACTCGACATTATTTTTGTGAGAGTTGTTCATGATGTTGTGTATAGTTCATTCTCATTGTATAATTCCACGTTATAAACATCCAACTTATTCAGCCATCCTACTGGTGATGGACATTTGGGTAGTGTCCAGTTGGGGGCTAATGCCAACAGTGCTGCTTCGGTCAACATGTGGCACTCTAGTGGGCAATTACCTAAGAGTGGAACTGCCGAGTCATAAGACAGACATATGTTCAGTTTTAGGAGACACTAACAAACCGTGCTGCAAAATGGTTGCTCTCATCCGCGCTCTCCCCAGCGGTTCTGGTTGCTGTGCGTCTTCAATTTCCTAGGGCTGAATTACCACAAACTAAATGGCTTGAAACAACAGAGTGTATTCTGCCACAGTTCTGGAGCCTAGAAGTCTGAAATAAAGGTGTTGGTAGGGCCCCTCTCTATCTGAAGGCTCTAGGGAGGAATCCTTCCTTGCCTCTTCCTGACACCTAGTGTTTATGACACTGACTGGGACCTCCAGTACAGTACTGAACAGACGTGACAACAGCAGCCATCTCTGCCTCATTCCCTATCTTAGGGAGAAAGGTTTTGTGTATTTCTTTGTTGTTTTTTGGGATGGAGTTTTGTTCTTGTTGACGTGATCTTGGCTCACTGCAAACTCTCCACCTCTGGGGTTCAAGCGATTCTCCTGCCTCAACCTCCCAAGTAGCTGGGATTATCAGCATGCACCACCATGTCCAGCTAATTTTGTATTTTTAGTAAAGACGGGATTTTTTCCACGTTTGTCAGGCTGGTCTCAAACCCCGACCTTGGGTGATCCGCCCACCTCAGCCTCCCAAAGTACTGGGATTACAGGTGTGAGCCACTGCGCCCAGCCTGCAGTAAGTTTTTAAGAATGCACTATCAGATAAGAAAATTCCCTTCTGTTTCTAGTTTGCTAAGCACTTCTATCATTAATGGATATTGATTTCTTAAATAATGTCTTTTTTTTTTCTTCTGGCTGGGTACAGAGGTTCATGCCTGTAATCCCAACACTTTGGGATGCCAAGGCAGGTGGATCACCTGAGGTCAGGAGCTCAAAAACACCCTGGCCAACATGGTGAAATCCTATCTCTATTAAAAATACAAAAATTATCCAGGCGTGGTGGTGCACGCCTATAATCCCAGCTACTCAGGATGCTGAGGTGGGAGAATTGCTTGAACCTGGGAGGCAGAGGCTGCAGTGAGCTGAGATCACACCACTGCACTCTAGCCTGGGCAACAGGACAAGAATCCATCTTAAAAACAAAAAGTTTTTTTGGCTCCTTTTGAAATAGCAATGAGTTTTCTTTTTTTTTTTTTTTCCTGTTATGTGGTGAATTGCACTGATTGGTTTTCAAATATTAAGCCAACCTTGCATTCCTGAAGTAAACTCAATTTGAATGTGTTGTACTATTCTTTGTATTTATTACTGAATTCCATTCACTAATATTTAGGATTTTTTTTTTTTTGAGACGGAGTTTTGCTCTCGTTACCCAGGTTGGAGTGCAATGGTGCAATCTTGGCTCACCGCAACCTCCGCCTCCTGGGTTCAGGCAATTCTTCTGCCTCAGCCTCCTGAGTAGCTGGGATTACAGGCACGTGCCACCATGCCCAGCTAATTTTTGTATTTTTAGTAGAGACGGGGTTTCACCATGTTGACCAGGATGTTGTCGATCTCTTGACCTCGTGATCCACCTGCCTCGGCCTCCCAAAGTGCTGGGATTACAGGCATGAGCCACCACCCCCAGCCATATTTAGGATTTTTATATCTCTTCTTAAGAAACACTGGGCAAAGTTTTTCCATTCTTGTAATGTTTTTGTTGGATTTCAGTATGAAATCACTTAATGATGGGGATATGTTCTGAAAAGTGATCCAGGCTGAGGTGGGTGGATCACTTGAGTTCAGGAGTTCTAGACCAGCCTGGTCAACATGGTGAAACCCCATCTCTACTAAAAATACAAAAACTAGCCGGGTGTGGTGGCACATACCTATAATCTCAGCTACTTGGGAGGCTGAGGCAGGAGGATCATCTGAACCTGGGAGGCAGAAGATGCAATGAGCCGAGTTGAGCTAGACCCTCTCTCAAAAGAAAAAAACCAATTCACAAATACATACATTAGCCTAGGCTCCAGATCATCAATATCACCATCTTTTGCCTCCACGTCTTGTCCCACTGGAAGGTCTTCAGGGACAGTAACACACACAGCGCCATCATCTCCATAATAGCAAGGCTTTCTTCTGGGTATCTCCTGAAGAACACACCTGAGGCTGTTTCTTAACTGTTTTTAAATAAATAGAAGCAATACATTCTAAAGTGATAAATAGTATAGTAAATACATAAACCAGTACCAAAACTGTTTATTATCAAGTATTATGTCCTATACTAATTATATTTTATGCAACTGGCAGTGAGGTAGGCCTGTTTACGCCAGCGTCACCACGAACACGATAATGCACTGCAGTACAACGTGATGACGTACATGATGTCACTAGGGGATAGGAATGTTTCAGCTCCAGTGTAATCTTATGGGACCACCCTCATATATGTGGTCCGTCACTGACCAAAATGTCACTATGTGGCACACGACTGTATTCAGTGTGTGTGTGTGTGTGTATGTGCACTCACGTGATTATGGTAAAATATATGTAATGAAATTTACAATTTTAACCACCTGTGTCCGCTAAGCAGCCTCTCCCCATCCTCACTTTCCCCAGCTCCTGGTGACCACGAATCTACTCTCAGTCTCTCTGGATTTGCCTATTCTGTACATTTCCTGTGAATGGACTCGCACACTGTATGGCCTTTTGTGCCTGGCTTCTTTCATGCCGCACTGTATTTTCTAGATTCATCAGTGTTATAGCAGGTGTCAGCACTTCATTCCTTTTTATGGCTGAATAATATTCCATCACGTGGACATAATGTTTTGTTTATCCATTCATCAGTTGATGGACACTTACATTGTCTCCGCCCTTTGGCTGTGGTGAAAAATGCTGCTATGAGCATTCACATACAAGAACCATTTAATTTTAGTGTTCTTGACTCAGGCCTTCCTCATCCAGTAAATGAAAGTGTATGTTCCAAAGAATAGACACGGCAACCACAGCAACTTCCCTTAGATAATAGCAAATGGATTTGGCCGGGCGCGCTGGCTCACGCCTGTAATCCCAACACTTTAGGAGGCCAAGGTGGGCGGATCACCTGAGGTTGGGAGTTCAAGACCAGCCTGACCAACGTGGTGAAACCCCATCTCTACTAAAAATACAAAATTAACCAGGTGTGGTGGCACATGCCTGTAATCCCAACTACTCAGGAGGCTGAAGCAGGAAAATCACTCAAATCCAGGACGTGGAGGTTGCAGTGAGCCAAGATCGCGCCATTGCACTCCAGCCTGGGCAACAAGAATGAAACAACATCTCAAAAATAAAATAAAAGTGGATTTGCCAGGAAGGGGAACATGGTGGGAAAGAGAGAGCGGTGTTAAGTCAACAAGTATTTCCTGTCTCTCATGAGCTGTGCCCCAGCCCAGGCATCACGGATATGGCAGTAACAAAGCAGACACGGTCCCTGCTTCCGCATGGAAGAATCGTCATCAAGTAAACACATAAATTAGTAAGACAATTTCCAGTAGTGCTGTCCTGTAAAGAATGTGGAATAACATGGTGTGATAAGAGAATCACATGGGAGAAAGGCTGCTAGATAGGGTGGTCAGGCCAAGAGGCGACATCTCAACAGAAGCCTGGCTTTTCTGAATTTCATTTTCCAAAATCTATAAAATAGGTCAGGAGCAATGGCTCATGCCTGTAATCCCAGCACATTGGGAGGGTGAGGCAGCCGGATCACCTGAGATCAGGAGTTCCAGATCAGCCTGGCCAACATGGTGAAATCTTTTCTACTAAAAATATGAAAGAATTAGCTGGGCATGGTGGCATGCACCTGTAATCCCAGCCACTTAGGAGGCTAAGGCATGAAAATTGCTTGAATTTGGGAGGTGGAGGTTGCAGTGAGCCGAGATCGCACCACTGCACTCCAGCCTGGGAAACAGAGTGATACCCTCTCAAAAAAAAAATCTGTAAAATAGAGACAAGGATACATCTCTCACAGACACTTCAAAGGCTTGAATGAGGTAATGCTTCCAGAACACGCAGGGGCCTGACAGCCACACTTAATGAATGACAGCTACTCCAACTTATGTGATATTAAATGTAACTTTCCAGGTTAATAACGTTAAAGAACCTAGAACCTGAGGGGTTGTCTTTGCTAATAAGTTTGGGAACTTGCCATTCCAGAGACCTCCGGTGGACTTCACAGACTTGTCCAAGCTGCCCCTGGCCCTCCATGACCCACCCCCTACTCCTGGACAACCAGAGGAGATGCAGCTGCTTAGAGAGGAGACAACTCCTAGACCCAGGGACAGCCCAGTCTGGTGCCAGTGTGGAAGCTGCCTCCCATCCCAACTTCCAGAGAGCCACAGGTGCCTGGAGGAGCTCTGCTGCCGGAAAAAGCCGGGGGCCTGCATCACCACCTCAGAGCTGTTCAGGAAGCTGGTCCTGTCTAGGCACATCCTGCAGTTCCTCCTGCTCTACCAGGACCCCTTGCTGGCACTGGATGTGGACTCCACCAACAGCCAGCTGCGCCACTGTGCCTATAGGTGCTATGCCACCTGGCGCTTCGGCTCCCAGGACATGGCTGACTTTGCCATCCTGCCCAGCTGCTGCCGCTGGAGGATCCGGAGAGAGTTTCCCAAGAGTCAAGGGCAGTACAGTGGCTTCAAAAGTCCGTACTGAAGCCAGATGTGTGGCTCACGCCTGTAATCCCAGCACTTTGGGAGGCCAAGGCAGGCAGATCACCTGAGGTCAGGAGTTGGAGACCAGCCTGGTTAACAAGGCAAAATCCCATCTGTACTAAAAATACAAAAATTAGCCAGGGATAGTGGCATGTACCTATAATCCCAGCTACTCGGGAGGCTGAGGCACGAGAATCACTTGAATCCTGGAGGCGGAGATTTCAGTGAGCCAAGATTGCGCCACTGCACTCCAGCCTGGGAAACACAGCAAACTCCGTCTCAAAAAATAAAAATAAAGTCCTTACTGATAGCAGGGTGCTGTGGTAGCCACATTAACATGACCTTTGCTAGCATCTTGAACTTCACCTGCAAAGCTCTGTGGGCACATTTTCACCCAAAGGGAAATGTGCTTTTCATCTTCTATAGCACTCTGTGTCTGAGAGCAAAGTAACCTGGTTAAACAAACCAGAATCCCTCTGCCTGGACAGAGAGCAGAGAGATTCAGATGTAAGTCTCAACGCTGTCCCTAGGAAGCTGTGTGTGACCCTAGGCCTCTCGCCTCTGCCTCTGCTTCCCCATTGCCCAACTACTATGTCAGAGATACTGTGAGGATAAATTAGGTGTACATAAACTGTCTTGTTAATGTGTAAAGAGCTATGTGAATGCAAAACATTTCATTATGCGGTCAGACTAGGATAATGGCCAACTAAAAACAAAGCTTTTTGGTTCTGGTTGGAGAATGTGGAGGACTAAAGGTGGCCACAAACACTTTGATACTCAAATCCCCCAAGACCTAAGGGTCTTATCTCCTCCCCTTGAGTATGGGTGGCTCTGATTGTTTTATCCAAAAGTGAAAGCTGTGTTGCATCAGTTTCAGATCTCGGTCTTAAGAGATTGACAGCTGCTACTTCCTGTCCCTTGGAACTCTTGCGACCAGGGAAGCCAGACTCCATTTAAAAGTCTGTCTATCCTGGCCGGGCATGGTGGCTCATGCCTATAATCCCAGCACTTTGGGAGGCTGAGGAGGGCTGATCACATAAGGTCAGGAGTCTGAGACCCAACTCACCAACATGGTGAAACCACAGCTCTACTGAAAATATGAAAATTAGCTGGACACGGTGGTAGGTACCTGTAGCCCTAGCTATCAACAGGCTGCGACGGGAGAAATGCTTGAACCTGGGAGGTAGAGGTTACATTGAGCTGAGATCATGCCACTGCACTCCAGGCTGGGTGACAGAGCAAGACTCCATCTCAAAAAAAAAAAATGTCTGCCTATCCTGAGACCGCCCTGCTATGAGGAAGCCCAAGCAGCCATGTGGAAAGTGCCTGACCAGCCCCAGCTTTCAAGCCATCCAAGCTTGGTCACCAAACATAAGAGAGAAGTCTTCAGGTGATTCTGGACCCTACTAACATGTGACTGATACTGCATGATACATCCCAAGTAACAACTTCCCCATAAATGCAGAAAATCAAAATGCTATCTTAAGTCACTAAGTTTCGGGCTTGTTTGTTCCACAGCAAGATAACTGGAACAGAGAGCTAGCCTGACGAATGCGCACACAGACTCAGCCCATACCTTCCCTGGTTCTAATGTTCTTAGGGAGCCCAGGTCAACCCTGGAACCCTCAGGAACTTCGGTTTCCACTGGACAGTTCGAGACAGGCTATAGCCCAAATCAGTTAACTCACCAGACCAGCCCTGGAATCCATCAAATCTAATGCTGAGCTACCCAATGCAGTCCAATCCTCATCACAATTCTATGACTGAAGACCAGGCACTGTGGCTCACGCCTGTCATCTCAGGACTTTGGAAGGCTAAGGTGGGTGGATCATGAGGTCAAGAGTTCAAGACCAGCCTGGCCAACATGGTGAAACCCCATCTCTATGAAGAATACAAAAATTAGCTGGGCATGGTGGTGGGTGCCTGTAATCCCAGCTACTCGGGAGGCTGAGGCAGGAGAATCACTTGAACCTGGGAGGTTGAGGTTGCAGTGAACTGAGATCATGCCACTGCACTCTAGCCTGGATGACAGAGCAAGGCTCTGTCTCAAAAAAAAAAAAACAAAAAAAAACAAAAAACGGCCGGGCGTGGTGGCTCAAGCCTGTAATCCCAGCACTTTGGGAGGCCAAGGCGGGTGGATCACGAGGTCGAGAGATCGAGACCATCCTGGTCAACATGGTGAAACCCCGTCTCCACTAAAAATACAAAAAATTAGCTGGGCATGGTGGCGCATGCCTGTAATCCCAGCTACTCAGGAGGCTGAGGCAGGAGAATTGCCTGAACCCAGGAGGCAGAGGTTGCGGTGAGCCGAGATCGCGCCATTGCACTCCAGCCTGGGTAATAAGAGCGAAACTCCGTCTCAAAAAAAAAACAAAACAATGCTATGACTGAAAGTGACTAAAAAGCTGCCTTGATACCATTAACACCCTGTACTTTGCAGCCATTCAGAATTGACGCAGTCTGGATGCTAGCTACTTCAAAAACAACCCACAACCACACCTTTCCCATCTCCATCATCGACTGCTAAGAATAGGAAAATGCATAGTGACAGGTGTTAGGATCCTGCTTTAGGGTTTCCTTTCCCTGGTTTTGTCACCAGAGTTGGCTATTTAACTGTTTCTAAACAACGACCATTTAATCAAACAGTTTGGAGACCACTGTTAAATATTGCGACTGATAAAGGATCTGTGAATTTTTTATACATATTCTAAGAGTTACCATTTTGATACCTTTTAAAAACCAGCAGCTTTCTAGGCTATTCGTGTAGAACAGCATGAATAAAAACGTTTTTGATACAGGGTTTTATCTGGCTTTAAACTCAGGAACCAAGTTAATTATGCCAGATTGAACTTTGATTTTTCACTACCTTTTCAAAGATATTTTTTAAAGTGCATTATTATATATGATTTCTTTGGAGTTGACACTTCTTTACTCCAGGAATTCTATGTCACTGTTACAGGTTTCCATTCTGATGGCCTCTGGGCCTTTGTACCTTCGTATTTGGTGCCTTATTCCTAGTACATTTCTGTCACCTTAATGAGGCCGCAGATGGAGTCAAAATGTGAAATGACAAATCATCACTGGATCCATCTGCTTTTCCTCACCTTCCCCACTGATGCTCTGGGCGAGAGAGTGACGTGTCGCTTCAACTGTGTAACATGTCACACACGTCCCACAATAACAGGCGTCATCGTTGTATTCTTAGTTTTAGTTTATTGTAGAAAATAATGTCATCTCCACAGGCGATGGGAGTCACATTTTGTAGGATGTGTTTTCTTATACTTAAAAGCTGTCTTCTGCTATGGTAACTGCCAGGATTCATGGCTTCATCTCTGTGTCAGAAAAGAAGGGATCTGCTTTCTCTTGGCTGATTTCATATAATATCGGTAATGAACTTTCATTCCTCATTCGAATGGGGAATTACTTTTTAAACCCTTCCTGATTTTAGCCTGGTGATGTAAGTGTCCTTAATGTCACTGTTTTGATAATTAAAAAAATGATGTAAAATTTATTTAAGTCTTCTTTCTTTCCTTTCCTTTCAGAAGGTCCCCAAATCACAGTTAACTCGTTCATGGACACATTTGTTCAACAACTGTTCATTGAGACACTCTCCAGAGATCGAGGATAAATAAGGTTGCTGGTCTCATGAAAATATGAAGAGATGAAAAATAATTCAAGCAAATGGAATCTGGCAACTGGTGCTGAGTATCATGGTGAAGAGGCAAATGAGGCCATGAGAGCTTATAGCAGGGGAATTTAGCCTACTGGGGTCAGCCTACCTGAGGAAGGAATGTTTTAGCTAAAATTTGAAGGATGAGCACTACTTAAATAGTGAATGGGGAAGGAAGGAGCACTCTCAGCAGAGAGAACAATATGTGCAAAGGTCCTGGGGCAGGAAAAGCATAGCAGGTTTACAGAACTTAGAGACCTGTATGTGCCATAAACAGTACAGGGAAGTAAGGCATGAGTCATGGTTGGAAGCAGGCAGGGGCTAGGCTTCCTGGAATCTTGTGGGTCACAGTAGAGTTTGTCTTTATCCTAAGACCTAAGCCACATAAAGGTTCTAAACAGGAGCCTGGTGAGATCATATTTAATTCTGATTTTGATTTTTTTGTTTTTTTTATTTGTTTTGAGATAGAGTCTTCCTCTGTTGCCTAGGCTGGAGTACAGCGTGGCTTGATCTTGGCTGACTACAACCTCTGCCTCCTGGGTTCAAGTGATTCTCCTGCCTCAGCCTCCTGAGTATCTGGGATTACAGGCACGCGCCACCACACCCAGCTAATTTTTGTATTTTTAGTAGAGACAGGGTTTCACCATGTTGACCAGGATAGTCTCAAACTCCGGACCTCAAGTGATCTGCCAAAGTGTTGGGATTACAGGCATGAGCCACTGCGCCCAACCACCATATTCATTTGTAAACACTCACTGCGATCACTGTGTGGAAAATGAGCTAGGAGCGGTGGTGGATATGCTCTTTGTTTTTGTTTCAGTCTTTCCCTACTCCATGAAACATTTGTCCCACATAAGCGGCCAAATAGAATGTTTCTCTTTTCTTCCCTCCTCTTCCTCTTGGGAAGTCACCAAAAAAAGGTGGAAAAAATTGGCAGCAAGAGAAAAGGAGGAAAAGCTTCAGTGTGCCTTGAATTTTGGAATAGCCCCTGCCCCAAGTTGGCAGGGATGAGACTGCTTGTAGAGCTTCAGATCACAGGAAGGAGTGCAGCAAATCAGGAGACGAGGGGCAGCCAGCAGGGCCCACTGGGTATCCACCCTGCGGTGTAAGGCCTAAAATCAAGGTCTCATATGAGGTGCTGCCTTGACATCAGGTGAAATCAGGAGTGCCTAGAATAGCCTAACCCCAAGTTTCTCTCCCAGTCCTCCCTTGGCTAAGGGTGCCCAGTGCAACAACCTTCCCTGTCAAACAGACCCAATAAAACAGATAGCAGTTCCTGCTAACCCATGGAACTGTCCAAATGAGCCAATCACATCCTCCAGGGAAACCAGGTCCTCCTCACCCTCTTGTTGCTACAGAGCGTGCCCCCCACCGGCCCTGGTCGTTCACTCTGTTTCTGTGTGGCCCTGCACAGCATGTGGGGGTCTTCCTCCCTGAGCTGTGAGTGTGTGTGACCAAAAATTGCTGCCAATCTCATCTGCCCAGTGTTGGGTGTCACATGTTTAGCCATCCCCAGAACCCTGGGGTGGGAAGTGGGAATCCCTCCCTCGCCACTGAGGTAAAGAGGAGGTTATTAAAACATCCCTAATTGGGCCAGGGCAGTGGCTCACGCCTGCAATCCCAGTACTTTGGGAAGCTGAGGCAGGTGGATTATCTGAGGTCAGGAGTTTGAGACCAGCCTGGACAACATGGTAAAACCCTGTTTCTCCTAAAAATACAAAAAATTAGCTGAGCATGGTGGCCAGCGCCTGTAATCCCAGCTACTTGGGAGGCTGAGGCAGGAGAATCACTTGAACCTGGGAGGCAGAGTTTGCAGTGAGCCAAGATCACACCACTGCACTCCAGCCTGGGCAACAAGAGTGAAACTCCATCTCAATCAATCAATCAATCAATAAAATAAATCTCTAATTCCAGGCCAACCAGCAGCCCTAAAAAATTAATCTTGGTTTGGTTTCTGCCCAAAGTCATGGTCACACAAAGCCCTGCCTACTAGAGGCAATAAGGAACCATGACCACCACCCCCATTTATTCAAATTATCTACTTGGATGTACCAGGTTGGGTTTCACCCTCCGATGTTTGTACGTTTCTCAACCCATATTCTAATCCCATGCAGTCATCATTCAGGAAGATCCCCTGACTCAACTTTTCTTTTTTGAAAAAATTAGAAATTCCCATTTTCTTTCACTTTAACTGTGACCTTTCAGCTTCCTGTTTTTCATTCCCGAGGGCTATGAATCATAGTTCCAAAATAAATGATGATCTATGGAGAGGAGTTTGCATTTCCAACATCCTTAGCTAACTTTAATGAATTATGATAGTCACGTGATCCTGAGGCTTCGGGAATCGGAGGAGGCGGCTGACACTGACTCACCATTTTAACCAAATAAGCATCGCACCTAAGCTTGGATAAGGGCCAACTCACACTAACAGGGCTCTTGTGTAAGCTTGTTCAGTCTGGTAAGTTATGAGTATTTATGTTTTATTTCTCCCAAAAAACAATAAGCCCCTCAGAGGCAAGGAACTCATCTTGGTTTTTGTCCCTTCCACACCTATCTCATCGCAATGGTGTGTGGGCACTGGAAACAGACCACCTGAGTTTAAATCCTGGCTTGGTCACTTATTGGCCAAGTGGCCCGATACAGTTTGGTTGTGTCCCCACCCAAATCTCATCTTGAATTGTACTCCTATAATTCCCATGTGTTGTGGGAGGGACCCAGTGGGAGACAACTGAATCATGGGGTGGCTTCCCTCATACTGTTCTCGTTGTAGTGAATAAGTCTCATGAGATCTGAGAGTTTTATAAGGGGTTTCTCCTTTCATTTGGCTCTCATTCTCTTTTTGCCTGCCACCACGTAAGATGTGGCTTTGCTGCTCCTTGCCTTTGCCAGGATTGTGAGGCCTCCCCAGCCCTGTGTAACTGTGAGTCAACTAAACCTCTTTCCTTTATAAATTACCCAGTCTTGGGTATGTCTTTATTAGCAGCGTAAGAACAGACTTCAGCGTAAGAACATGGCTTCAGGCAGCTTCTCATGAGTCTAGCTATGGTAGCTATTCTTATGATTTGGATGGTGCCCAAGCATCGCTCTTGAGCTCCAGGCCCATATATCTAACCACCTCCAGATATTCTATACTTAAATGGTTTAGCGGCAACTCAAACTGATACAAAAGACAAATCATGATCTCTGTTCACCCCATCCACCCACATGTGACTTCCAGAGCTCTAAGTTCAGCCAGTAGCACCACCTGCCATGAGCTCAACTTCCCAAGCCAAAGTTCAAAGGACACCTTGATGTCTCCCTTCTCCTTCCCCATCTGTCCAACCTTATCCCTTCATTATGAGGTTGCACTTACTGGGCACCCCGGCACTGTGCAGGAGCTGGGGATGAACAGGTGAAGATGACAGGCTCTTTGGGAGGTTAGGTGCAGTGTGAGAGACAGGTAATCACAGTGAAAAGAAATGGGTTGAGGACAGCTTGGAATAGATTTTGAAAGAAACAAGCAGGATCCTGTGATAGGAGCAAGGGAATTACTTCTGATAGGGAGCAGGGAGGGTTTCTCCAAGGAAGTGGCATTTACGCTAGATCTGAATATCGAGAAAGAACCTGCTGGAATGAGTTGAAAGATGGGCATTCCAGGAAGAGCGACAGCAAACACAAAGCTGAGAAGTGAGAGAGAAATAAGAGTGTCCCAGAGCTGGATGGGGGGCACACACCTGTGATGCCAGCAACGCGAGATCATCCCTTAAGCCAGGAGTTTGAGGCCAGCCTGGATAACATAGTAATATTCTATCTCAAAAAGAAAAAAAAGAAAGAAAGAAAAGCAAAGAAATGAGCGTGTTCCAGGAACTGTCGGATGGCCAGTGCAACCATGCTCCGAGAGCACAGACTTGCTTGTTTTCTTACTGCCTCCTAAACCGTGTGGTCCCGTTTCACTGAAACAGAAGCTCAGAGAAAGATGAAGTTCACACACGCAAGCACAGCCTTGGGAGGGTTATGAAGCTCGTGAGATATAAGCAGACCCTCATTGGAGGAGGGGGCGGGAAACAGTGGGATGAGAGGAGGCATTCCCAACAGGACCAGCGGCACAAGCCAGGCCCAGAAAGAAATGACTACGATAGCGGAGGGAGATTAAATGGCACTGATTTGGGAAAACCTTCAAAAAGAAAAAAAGGCCGAGATGTTTGAGCCAGGTGCAAAGTTAAGATAGAGCCATTCTTGGGGCTGAAAGAGGACACAAGGAAGCAATGACTTAACATCCCTCAGACATGAGGACATGGGATGGGAGGGGAAGCCTGGGATAGTGACATCATTTAGGAGTCTGCTGGGATTATATAGGAGTGTCTCAACAAGCTCCCTCCTGTACCACTGAATTGGTGGTGGTGATGGAAAGAAAAGGAAGACTCATTAAAATGTATTTCTTTTTCTTTTTTTTTTTGTAAAGATAGGGTGTCCGCATCTTGCCCAAGCTGGTCTTGCACTCCTGGCCTCAAGCAGTCCTCCCACCTGGGCTCTCAAAGCTCTGGGATTACAGGTGTGAGCCACCACCCCAGCCTGGCTAAATGAATTTTTAAAAATTCCTTTAAGTCGGTTAAGTAAATTATGGCACATTCATATAACAGAAGAGTTTGCAGCTATTTTAAATGATGCCACAGAAAGACAGTTAATGACATGGACAGATGTTCAAGGCAGAACACAGCATGTACGACATTTCTTTCTTAAGGAGAATCTGAGCTGTTAACTAGATCTTTTTTTTCCTGAAGAGAGAGTATTTATTAAAAATCTTTAAGTGCACATTTAAGCAGACGAAGAAGAACTGCCTCATTCCTCCTTGGAATATGTTATAGATAATAACAAACTTTTTTTTATTGAGATGAAGTCTCACTCTTGTTGCCAAGACTGGAGTGCAGTGGTGCAATCTCAGCTTACTGAAACTGCCACCTCCCAGGTTCAAGAGATTCTCCTGCCTCAGCCTCCCAAGTAGCTGGAATTACAGGCACCTGCCACCATGCCTGACTAATTTTTGTATTTTTTGTAGAGACAAGGTGTCACCATGTTGGCCAGGCTGGTCTCGAACCCCTGACCTCAGGCGATCCACCTGCCTTGGACTCCCAAAGTGCTGTGATTACAGGCGTGAGCCACCACGCCCAGAGATAATAAATTTTATCATTTGGAGACATCAAGAAATGTTAGTGGCATTTCCTGAAATCCAGAAATCATGCTTAAAAACCATCTTGGGCTGGGTACAGTGGCTCATGACTGTAATCCCAGCACTTTGGGAGGCTAAGGTGGGTGGATCACGAGGTCAAGAGATTGAGACCATTTGGGCCAACATGGTGAAACCCTGTCTTTACTAAAAATACAAAAATTGGCCCGACATGGTGGCATGCACCTGTAGTCCCAGCTACTCAGGAGGCTGAGGCAGGAGAATCGCTTGAACCCAGGAGGCAGAGGTTGCAGTAAGCTGAGGTCATGCCACTGCACTCCAGCCTGGGTGACAGAGCAGACTCCGTCTCAAAAGAAAACAAACAAAAAGAAGTTCCCATACATGCGACAACATGGAGAAATCTTGAAAACATTATGCCACATGAAATAAGCAAGACACAAAAGAACAAATATTGTGTGATTTCACTTACATGAATTGCCTAGAACAGGCAAGATCATAGAGGCAGAAAGTAGAAGAGAGGTGACCACACCTGGAAGGGAAGTGGGATGTGCGTTACTGCGGAATGGGTATAGCACTTCTGTTTCAGATGATGAAAACGTTCTGAAAGTGGACAGTGGCGATAGCTGCACGACTCTGTGAATGTACTCAATGCCACTAAATTATATACTTAAAAATTGTTCAAAGTTGGCCAGGCAAGGTGGCTCATGCCTGTAATCCCAGCACTTTGAGAGGCCAGGGAGGACAGATCACAAGGTCAGGTGTTTGAGACCAGTCTGGCCAACATGGTGAAACCTTGTCTCTACTAAAAATACAAAAATTAGCTGGTCATGGTGGTGTGGGACCTGTGGTCCCAGCTACTCGGGAGATTGAGGCATAATCACTTGAACCTGGGAGGCAGAGAGGTTGCAGTGAGCCAAGATTGCATCATTGCACACCAGCCTGGGCAACAGAGTGAGACTCCGTTTCAAGAACAAAAAAAAGGCCAGGCATGGTGGGTCATGCCTGTAATCCCAGCACTTTGGGAGGCCAAGGCAGGTAGATCACAAGGTCAGGAGTTCAAGACTATCCTGGCTAACACGTGAAAACCCCGTCTCTCTAAAAACACAATTAGCTGGGCGTAGTGGCACGCACCTGTAGTCCCAGCTACTCAGGAGCCTGAGGCAGGTGAATTCCTTTGACAGGGAGGCAGAGGTTGCAGTGAGCCGAGATCACGCCATTGCATTCCAGCCTGGGTAACAGAAAGAAAAAAAATGGTTAAAAATTACAAATTTTACATTATGTATATTTACCAACATTTTTTAAATCACAAAAAAGAAACCCACTAATGCTTTGACAACTGTGAGATTTCTGTGAAAATTTCTTTATGTAATTAAAAAAACGTAATTGTTTATGCAGAATCTTGTCATTCTTTTGGTGTGAGTCTCATTGGAAGCTTGGATTCATGTGCTAATTTCAATTCCTGTGCCCTCCAAATGTATATGAAAGTACTTTTTTAAGAAAATATTCCACTGGAGAGGCCCAGGATAAAAGACTCCACCTCAAAAATAAATTAATTAATTAATTAAATAAAATAAGAAATGAATTAAAGAACTAGGTCCACAAAGGGACTCATGGATCTCTGTGTCTGAGCCAGGCTTGTGTGCAGGGTGGCCTCGAATGTGCCCCGGCCCGTTTGCAGAGTTTGAGGACCGCCTGACACAGCACCTGGGTGTAGCACCTGGAAGCTGCTCGCTCAGGTTCTTCCACATTAGCTCCTGTGTCACTGGGAGAGCAAAGCGGCTTGGCCCGCAAGGAGGGGTAGGTGGGAAAACCCATAAACAGCCAGATAGTGTCAGTGTCCATTGCTGTGAATGTTTTGCCAGGTGGAAGCTTTTGAATGTGCCACAGAGGCCCCATTAAAAAGTGGCTGGGACAGGTCATCCTAGAAATGAAGGTGGCGCACAGGGCAGGCTGAAACTGCTGCCTCCTAGACGCAGATCCAGATGTGGAAGTAAAGCAGAAGGGGTGAAATTAGAGCGTGCAGGGCATTTTAGGAGGGGGAGTCCCCGTGGGAAACTCACTTTAAGAAAATCCCATTGATAAAAATCTACATTTACAAACTAAGTAAATGGGAGGGATGAGAGTGATTTTTGCTTGACAAAGGGGTTCATAAGAAGATAAGTTTCCTGCCAGGCGCGGTGGCTCAAACCTGTAATCCCAGCACTTTGGGAGGCTGAGGCAGGTGGTCAAGAGATCGAGACCATGCTGGTCAACATGGTGAAACCCGTCTCTACTGAAAATACAAAAAATTAGCTGGGTATGGTGGCACGTGCCTGTAATCCCAGCTACTCAGGAGGCTGAGGCAGGAGAATTGCTTGAACCCAGGAGGTGGAGGTTGCAGTGAGCCGAGATCGTGCCATTGCACTCCAGCCTGAGTAACAAGAGCGAAACTCCGTCTCAAAAAAAAAAAAGATAAGATTCCTTCAAGAACACCTGAATGAAATTGTAAAAACTGAGTCCTCCTTTTCAGGAGCTTGTCTATGGAAGAGGCAGAAGGATGAGCAGATCCTGGCTGTGAGGGCACTTTAGCCCAGGGCAGTGGTGCGTGCCTATAGTCCCAGCGACTGGGGAGGTTGAGGCAGGAGAACTGCTTGAACCCGGGAGGCGGAGGTTACAGTGAGCAGAGATCACTGAAAACTAAGCACTCTTAGTTTTCTTATTTTCAAAAGAAAAGGATTAAGCTAAACATGATCTCTAAGGTACTTTTTAAATTTTTCTTTATTTTATTTATTTAATTTTTTTGGAGACAGGGTCTATGTCACCCAGGCTGGAGTGCAGTGGCATGAACATAGCTCACTGCATCCTCAATCTCCGGGGCTCAAGTGATCCTCCTGCCTCAGCCTCCCAAGGAGCTGGGACTACAGGCACATGCCATCATGCCTGGCTAATTTTTTTACATTTTATAGAGACAAGGTCTCACCATGTTGCACAGGCAAGTCTCAAACTCCTAGGCTCAAAGAATCTCTTGCCTTGGCCTCCCAAAGTGCTGGGATTATAGACATGAGCTACCGCACCCAGCTTGTAAAGTACTTTTAATCTCAAAATGTGAGGATGGGCCGGGCATGGTGACACTTTGGGAGGCCAAGGTGGGCAGATCACGAGGTCAGGAGTTTGAGACCAGCCTGGCCAAAATGGTAAAACCGTGTCTCTATAAAAATGCAAAAATTATCCCCAGAAACATTAGGCAAAAGAAAAAATAAAAAGAAATAAAAATAAAAATGCAAAAATTAGCTTGGCATGGTAGCAGGCACCTGTAATTTCAGCTACTCGGGAGGCTGAGGCAGGAGGATCACTTGAAACTGGAAGGCAGAGGTTGCAGTGAGATTAGATGGCACCAGTGCACTCCGGCCTGGGCAACAGAGTGAAACTTCATCCCCCCGCGCGTGCACACACACACACACACACACACACACAAAAGTGAGGATGTTCTGTGCTAGATAAAAGGGATAACAATAATGGCCAGGCGTAATGGTTCATGCTTGTAATCCCGGCACTTGGGGAGGCTGAGGTGGGTGGATCACCTGAGGTCAGGAGTTCAAGATCAGCCTGACCAACATAGTGAAAACCTGTATCTACTAGAAATACAAAAATCAGCCTCATGAGGTCACATGCACCTGTAGTCCCAGCTACTTGGGAGGCGGAAGCAGGAGAATCGCCTGAAGGGAGGCCAAGGTTGCAATGAGCCAAGATCATGCCACTGTACTCCAACCTGGGTGACAGTGAGACTCCGTCTTCAAACCAAAACAAAACAAAGTAATAATAACAATAATCTCAAAATGCTCTCTCCATTGTATAAAATGAGACCAATTTGTGCCTGACATTATGCTTCTATGAAGTATTTGGCAAACCAGCCAGTAAGTGTCAGTGAATGTACTGCATTAGCTAAGACTGAGGTCCACACATGGCCTCGAAAGCCTCCTTGATCAGGCCTCTGGCTGCCTCTCGGGAGCTTAGCTCACATCACCCTCCTCCCTGCCCACTATGCTCCATTCATATTGACCTTCCTTCTACTCCTGGAACACACCAAGCCCATTCCTACCTCAGGGACTTAGCACCTGCTATTCCCTTTGCCAGGAATACTTTCCCCCAAGCAAAGTATTCAGAGAGCTGGCTTCTTCCTGACATCCAGGTCTCCGCTCAGAAGGACTTCCTCAGAGAGGGCCTCACTCAAACTATTAGATATAGAACAAATTCAACACCCAGCCAAGAAGGTGCTTTTTTTTTTTTTTGACCCAGAGTCTTGCTCTGTTGCCCAGGCTGTAGTGCAGTGGCACAATCTCAGCTCGCTGCAACCTCTGCCTCATAGGTTGAAGCAATTCTCGTGCCTCAGCCTCCTGAGTAGCTGGGATTACAGGCGCATGCCACTGAATCTGGCTAATTTTTGTATTTTTAGTAGAGATGGGTTTTCACCATGCTGGCCAGACTGGTCTCGAACTCCTGACCTTGGACGATCCATCCGCCTCGGCCTCCCAAAGTGTTGGGATTACAGGCATGAGCCACTACACCCAGCTGGTACATTCTTTTTTACGATACACAAGGAAGAGTTATAACAGATATGCATTAGATCATGTATTTTCCTCAATACGTTCCCAACAGCAATATGATACAGAGCAGGTTCTCTAACCACATTTCAATAAAATTAGAAATTAATTTTTTTTTTTGAGACAGAGTCTCACTCTATTGTCCAGGCTGGAGTACTGTGGTGCAATCTCTGCTCACTGAAACCTCTACCTCCCGAATTCAAGCAATTCTCCCTGCCTCAGCCTCCCAAGTAGCTGGGATTCCAGATGCCTGCCACCATGCCCAGCTAATTTTTGTATTTTTAGTAGAGACAGGGTTTCACCACATTGGCCAGGCTGGTCTCTAACTCCTGATGTTAGGAGTTCTGCCTGCCTCACCCTCCCAAAAGTGCTGGGATTACAAGAGTGAGCCACCATACCTCACGAGAAATTAATTTTTAAAAGGTAGATTTTTGATATATTTGGAAACAATGAAATATTGCTAAGAAATATTGCTAAATAACTCAAAAATATTTAGAGCTGGATAATGAAAGTAATATATGTCAAAATTGGTGGCATATGGCTAAAGCAGTACTTTTTATTATTATTATTAAGCTGTAGTCTCACTCTGTCGCTGAGACTGGAGTGCGGTGGCGCAATCTTGGCTCACTGCAACCTCCGCTCCCAGGTTCAAGTGAGTCTCCTGCCTCAGCCTCCCAAGTAACTGGGATTATAGGTGTGTATCACCACACCCAGAAGATGTTTGTATTTTAGTAGAGATGGGGTTTTGCCATGTTGGCCAGTCTGTTCTCGAACTCCTAGCCTCAAGAAATCTACCCTCCTCAGCTTCCCAAAGTGCTGGGATTACAGGCATGAGCTGGCTAAATGGCAGATTTTGTCCAAACGGAAGGCTAAGGCTGACCCGAAGGCTAACCCTAACCTTAGCCCTAACCCTGACTCTAATTGGGTTAGGGTAAAATGACTAAAGGCAAGAGACGAGCATTCTGGATATTTCTCAGGGAAGGAAAGAGGCAACTTTTATCCTCCACTGACCCAAAGAAATGGACTGTAGTTTGTCCCCGACTTCCCACTCAATTTGCTAGTTTGACCCCATCCTCCCTCCCCTTGTCTATCCCAAGCTTCACTCTGGAGGCAACAGCTAAACCTGTGCTAGTTAAACTTGAACCAAATCTGTCAGAAAAGAAGGGGCTGTTGCAAGAAGCAGCGCGGCTTCAAAGAAAGTGACTGTGCTTACTCACCCCGCTTCCCGCTCAATTTCCTCCTGCCCAGAGAATGGAACTCATGAGACGGAAAGCCCAGAAAAAGGGAAGGGAGTGAAGAAAGGGACAGGGCACTACTCCACAAACACTTCCTGCTGGCTGTGCTGACATCACCACATGGCATGCGTCTCATACTTGGGGTGTAGCTCACACAGCTAATGCCTTCGAGTTCTAAAACAACTTGGAGCCAGTGTTCTCTGATTTTTCAGTGGCTACATTTAAGAATAGAAAAGAACTGGGAAAATCCCAACAGAACACTCTGTGATTGCTAATGTGGACTTAAAGGTTATTCTTATCAACATCTAAACAACTGAAAATGCAAAATGTTATAACACGTGGACAGTTTTGGAGTCTGAGGAGTCCTGCTTTTCTTCCCTCTTAGCAACCAACCGTTATCTTTTCTGTTGTTG